GTTTGATTGATTGCTTGAATTTAAAAAAAAAAAAAAATTTCGAAAAAAAATTTTAATTTATAATAACCACTAAACTTTTTTTTAAAAAAATAATAAAAAAAAAATTTAATTAATAATAATTAAAAGTATAATAATTTCCTTTTGTAAATATAATGGATTAGATTCAAACTCGGTATTCCCTTTTTTGTACATTCTATTAAATTTTTAATCTGTAGCTATCATAAAAGTAATGATGATCCGTTTATTTTTTATTAATTTCCAAAACACATCACCCAAATAAAAAAATAATTTAATTAAAAAAATTTAAAAAAAATTTAAAAAAAATTAAATTATAACCCCACCACACACTTTTTTATTATTATTATAAAAAGTGGATGATATGTTTGGGAAATGAATTTATAAATTTTTATTTTTTTTAATTATATAAAAATAAAAAATACCATTTTTGGAAGCCATTGCAATCTGAATTATACAAAAAAAAAATGATGATGACTCGTGTTCAATTTAAACAAAAAAAAATTTTATAATATGTGGTCAATAGTAATATGAAAAAAAAAAAAAAAAAAAAAAATTTGATAAAAAAAAAATTAAATTTATTTATTTATTTATTTATTTGATTATTTATTTATTTATTTATTTATTTATTTATTTATTTATTTATTTATTTTATATAAAAAACTTTAAAGTCATGTTGAGAACTTTCTTTTTATTATTTTTTTATAATTTAATTTTTATTTTTATTGAATATATAAAATAACCATCACTTTAAATCATCCTATTTGTTTAATAATATGATGGGTATATATAATAACAAAAAAAATTATAAAATAATAAATAATTATATTAATTAATATTACATTTCTATAAATATATAATAATATCACCGAAAAAAAAAAACACAACAAATTTTTGTGATGATTATTTATTTATAAATTTTTTTCTCTGATTTAATAATGAATTAATAAATTTTTTATTTTTTTTAATAAAAATTTACTGAATAAATACTATCTCTTATATATTTTATCATTAAGTAAGATTATTTTTAAAAAAAAAAAAAACAAATAAATAAATACAAATATTTTTTAAATTCCTTTTATTTTTTTAAAATTTAAAATTTTTTTATTAAATTATAAAAATATAAAATTAAAATTAAATGGTAAATTTGTAATTGAAATTAAAACCCCATTGGAATAAAGATGAGGTACTTGAAATAGGGTTGAATTTAAAATTAAATAAAGTAAAAGATTGATGATATTTAAAATGATTATAAAGTTTAACTTTGTATTTCTTTGTGGTTAAAAGAGATATGAAGTAATGAATATGCACTCTGTATTGTTATTATTATTGAAAAGAAGTATTAAGGTAAATATACCATTGAAACCACTATTAAATTTTTGAAAATAATTATAAAATCCCACCATCTATATTTTGCTTTATAAAGCATCTCCTGTTATTGATACTGAAGTTGAAGAGTTATATAGTTTGGAAATATTGGAGCTATAAAATAATTTAATGATATATATAATGAACCTGTTGGATATTTTAATTATATCTTGATTTAGTTAAAATGGCGCTAATCCATTCCCTACAATAATAATTTGATTAAAACTAAAAATAAAACCTAACTCTGTGACCCCATAAGATAAAACTTGACCATGTGGTTTTAATGCATTGTTTACCTTAATTCAAATTGTTGTGGCATATCTTTTGTGTGGATGATATTTTAAATTTGATCCATTTACCTACTATTGGTTTGCGTCTAAAGTGTAATGATTAAGAACGATAATTGATGATGATTTATCATTGTTTTTGCCTTTCCAGTTACTTGATATGATTATTTCTTTGATTGATTTATGATAATAAAAACTTTTCTTTGACCCTTGCTCAATGATAATTGGTTGAAACTTTCATTTAGAAATATTATCATTTGTATTTTCCATTTCAGGATCACTTTCATTTTCTTTATAATAGTCTATATCAAACCGAATTCCTTTTCTTTTAATTATAACATCCATTGTTTATATAGTAAATTTATTATTAAATTATTTGTTTACTATTTTTATTTTGATGAAATTATTTATTTAAAAAATAAAAAATAAAATTTGTGAATAAAAAAATGAAAAAAAACGGGTAATAAAGCAAAATCCTAACCTATTAATTTAATTTAAATTTTATTTTATTAACATTTTACTCTTTTAAAAAAAGTCTTGTTAAAAAGAGATAATCCTTATAATTAAAAAAAAAAATATATGTTTACAATTTTTATCATTTTTTAGTTAATAAAAATAAAAATTTAATTTTTTTTAATTTTTTTTTGGTTTTTTTTAAAAAAATAAAAAATCTTGAAATTTTGAATATCTTTTAAACCAATATAAAAAAACAATCTTTTGTTTAGATTTCGGTAGGCATAATATAATTAAATTTCCCTTTTTATTTTCTTTAATTTTAAAATTTTATTAATTATTTCACTTTGTTTTTTCCTATATTAATTTTTTTATTTTTATTTATTATTTATTTATATTTTTATTAATTTATTTATTTTATAAAAATAATGCAAACTCCTACAATTAATCCTTTTAGAGATGACTGTGATGTAGCAATTGTAGGTTTAGGACTTAGATTACCTGGTAATTCAAATAGAACTTCTGAACTATGGGATAATTTATTAAATGGTTTCGATGGTATCGTTGAAACTAACGAAAGATGGAGCGATACATTTAATGCAATGGGTGAAATTGCAAGTAAAGAAGCAGGTTTACTCGAACTTGAAGGTAAACATTCATTATTTGAATAAAATAACAAATTTAAATTTATAATTCATTTTATTAACTAATATTTTATAATTATTATAGAGTGGATGAATTTTGATCCATTACATTTCGGTATTAATCCAGCAGAGGCCAAACAAATTGATCCACAGCAAAGACTGTTGCTAAAAGCAACCTGGGAAGGTGTGTAGTAATTACATGTTATTATTAATGTCAATTTTTTTCAAATATTAATATTTACTTATTTTATAGCATTCGAAGATGCTGGTATAGATCCATTAACATTAAGAGGCACACCAACATCAGTGTTTGTTGGGGCTTCAGCATCTGATTACTCATGGTCAAATACTGATCCAAATGAAAAATTGGTAAATTTCAATGTATTCAATTCAAACTTGGGTAGTATTGCAAATAGAGTTTCATACTGTTTTGATTTTCGAGGTACATCATTAACTGTAGACACTGCATGTTCAAGTTCATTAAATGCATGTGTATTGGGATATCAATCAATAATCAATGGCAATTCTGATTACTCTATTGTTGGTGGTTGTAATTTTATATTAAGTATGTATCATATATGATTGAATTTTTTATAATAATTTTTACTAAACTTTTTGATTTTTTTTTTAGATCCACAAATTTCTAAAGCATTTACATCAATTAACATTATTGGTAAATCTGGTAGATGTAATGTATTTGATGAATCAGCAGATGGTTTTGTACGTGCTGAAGGTGTTGCTGTTTTAATTCTAAAAAAGCTATCACTTGCACAAGCTGATGGTGACCAAATTTATGCAGTCATAAGAGGTTGTAATTCAAATGTTGATGGTACATTAAATAAAGGTAATTTTATGAAGCCATCAAAAACAGCTCAAACAAACAACATTATCAAAGCATTTGAATCAACTAAAGGCTCACTCCAATATTCAGACATTGATTTCTTTGAAGTACATGGTACTGGAACACCAATTGGCGATCCAATTGAAGTAGAAGCCGTAGCAGATGTATTTAAATCAGTTAAAACACCTGACAATCCATTGCTAATTGGCTCAATTAAAAGCAATATTGGTCATCTTGAACCAGCATCAGGTGTCGCATCATTAGCCAAGTGTTGTTTAATGTTAAAAAACCGTCAGTTTGTAAAAAATATTCATTTTGAAAAACCAAATCCAAACATCAAATTTGAAGAATGGAATGTCAAAGTTTGTACAGAAAACACTGAATTCCCAAACAATAAACAAGTATCAGTCGCAATCAACAGTTTCGGTATTACTGGTTCAAATGTATGCATTCTTTTAACTGAATATAACAGTGATATTAATTTTACAAACCAAACCAACACCAAAATTGGAAAAAAAGTTTTAATTCCAATTTCAGCCAACTCTAAAAACTCGCTAAAGTTACTCAAAGAGGAATTGAAAACCAATTCAATATTATACTCAAAATCCATAGATTTTAAAGATTTCATTTATAACCAATTATATTCGAAATCAACACAGCTTGTCCAAAGATCAGTATTTATTGCGAGCGATTTCGGTGACCTTAATTTAGAAACATCATCTATTTCATCAAACAGCACTATATCTGGTAACATATTAAAATCAAATGTCAAAGATAACAGTAGTCAAACACCATTAATATATGTTATGTGTGGTCAAGGTCCACAATGGAATGGTCAAGCTATCAAACTGTATATTAAAGAACCAATTTTCAAGAAATCAATGGATACTATCAACTCAATACTATCAAAGTACTTTGGCTATTCAATATTATCAAAACTAAGATCAATTAAAGATAATGACAATAATACTATTAACGAACCAACCGTTGCACAACCATCAATATTTATGTTACAAGTTTCATTATATGATTTATACAAACATTGGGATATCAAACCATCAATTATCCTTGGTCATTCATTTGGTGAAGTTTCAGCTGCTTATTGCTCTGGCATGATTACATTAGAAACAGCATGTGAAATTATTTATCAAAGATCTACACTTCAAAACAAGACTATTGGATCTGGTAAAATGTTAGCTATTGGTTTAAACGAACAACAATTTAAAGATCAATTTTCATCAAAGTATCCAACAATCGAAATCAGTTGTTACAACTCACCATCATCAATTGTTATTTGTGGTAATGAATCCGAAGTTAATGAAATCGGACAAACCCTAAAAGAGAAACAAGTATTTTCAACACTATTAGGGTCACCATCATCATTCCATTCATCAAAACAAGAAGTTATTAAAGATGAAATAATAAAATTAACTAAAAACATTAAATCAAAGAAACCAAACATTCCAATATTTTCAACAGTTACTGGTGAACTATTTAAATTAGAAGACTCTCAATTCGACTCCAACTATATTTATAACAACATCAGACAACCAGTATTATTCCAAAAAGCAATCGAGAATATATTTAAATATATCGAATCAAATGAACTTGGAAATAGAGTGCAGTTTTTAGAATTATCACCACATCCAACATTAGTTAACTATATAAAAGAAATGATACCATCAAATTCTGATTACTTTCAATCACAATCAATATATGTTTTATCATCATTAAATAGAAAAACAAACAAAGATATGGCAGAAATTAGAAAATCAATTTCACAATTATATTGCAATGGTTATAATGTCAATTTTAAATGTCAATTACCAAAACCCAAAACTTTTGAAAAATTAAATTTTAAAAAAGCATCCTATTTATTACCACGTTATAAATGGGATGATGATATATATTTCAATCAAAGTCCAACATACTCAACATTTAAAACAAATGGTGCTTCTATTAATCAACTCGGATATAAAAATGAACAATCTCCTTTTATATCATATACATCCTATATTGATGTTGGTGAAGAACCATATAAATTCTTAAAAGGCCATCAAGCAAAAAATAAAGCAATTCTTCCAGGGTGTGCTTATCTTGATAATATCTTAAAGTGTTTCCCAAATCAAGATATAACTATAAACATATTAGAATTTAAATCACCATTAATGCTAATTGAAGGTGTCAAGCAATGTTTATCAACAAATATTTACCAATCAGGGAAAAATGAATATAGGGCAGTTTTTCATTATAAAGACATTAAAACTGGTAAATGGATATTATCTGCACAAGGTAGATTCTCAATTACTAAACATAATACAGTTCCTCAAAAAGTAAATATGAATAAATATAGAGAAAAATGTAATTGGACCAAACTACAAAAAAAAGAATTATACGAAGCAATCAAAGAAATGGCAGAATTAAACTTAACAGGTTCATTCCAAAGTATTGAAGAAGTGTTCTATGGTAATGATGGGGCATTCCTTAAAATCTCCCTAAATCCGCCACTTTCCAGCTATGATAATCAATCATTTTTAAATATATGTATTCTTGATGCATGTTTCCAATCTTTAGCAGTCTACAAGAAACATCCTAGTCTTACAGTATTTGATAATATACAAAGAGCCCAATTCTTTTCAGAAAATATACCAAAATCAGCAATGGAAAGAGATAAATATAAATATGTTTATTGCTATACAGAATTTATTGGCACTATTTGTGACTCATTTATTGCCAGAATATTAATGACATTAGAAGATGGAACCATATTATTTATTTGTCCTGCTGCAACTTACACATCAATAACACCAACAATTGATAATTTCAAATTTGAAAATCCAAACAACCATTTATTATCCACTGTCCAACAATCTAAAGACTCACTATTAGAGCTACCGTCAACATATTTAAAAAAGAAACTTAATGAACTTATTTCGTCTATAGATAATAGAAAAGCAATAGTTAAATTTTTATATTTAAATATTAAAAATAACTGCCAAAACAATATACTTTTGGAAGATATTACATCCAACTCAAATGAAATCTTAATTTCTAAATATCTCAAAGTTTCAGAAACTGATGGTACACCAAAGATGAATATAGCAAATTTATTCTTTGAAATTCTAAAGGTCAATAAATTATTACTATCAGATTTGTATGAAGAAATCTCAATATTAAATACCAAAGATATCAACACAATTAACAATATAGTTAAAATTCTATTAAATGAAACTCCAACTCCAACTGAGCAAGATTCCTCAACTTTATTAACATCTTTTATTCCAGAAATCCCACACAATCAAATTATAAAAGAAATCATTACAGCCTCAATTACACCAATTATTAACGAAAAGATTGTTTTTAGAATATTAGAGGTTGGTAGTGGTATTGGTTTATTATCTGAAATAATTGCCACCGAAATCAACTCATTAATTGAAAAAAACCCACTTTCAGAAATCAATATTGAATTTACAACTTCAGATAAAGAAAATACCTTTGCACAATTACTTAAAGAGATATTACTGCCAATTTTTGAACTTAATAATAAATCAACTAAGACCTTATTCAAATTAATAGACTTAGATCAAGATCTGTTGGATCAAAAAATCAATCCTTCCTATTATGATATTATAATTATAACCAATTTATCAGACATCCAAGATAAGAATTCATCTATTAAAAATATCAACCAAATTTTATATCCAAATGGTTATTTAATTATAATTGATACACTCTTTAAACCAAAGACAACTGATAAAGAACTAGAAACATATAGACAATGGTTGTCATCCAATTGCCTAAATTCAACCACAAACATCGATGAATGGAAACAACTATTAGTTACAGAGTTAGGCTTTAAAGACTTTATATCAACAAAATCCCCACAGCAACTTATTGTTACAGCCCAAAAACCATCAATCATGAAAATAAGTAAAGATATATCAAAAGAAGATCAATTTCAATCAATATTAGAATCCTATGACCAAATTATTATCTTTGGTCTATATTTAGATATTATTGATTCCGAAAGAGGAAATGATATTGAACAAGGAAATAATATATTTAAAATCAAATCAATTGAAGAATTTAGAAAACATGCAGAATCAACACCATTAACCGAAAAATCCATAATATTTTCAATTGACACCATAAATGAATTAAAAGAAGAAAACTTTAAAGAAATAACTTTTGGCTATATCGAAATAAATCAACATTTATTAAAGACTAAGTGTAAATCCAAACATATACTTGTATCAAGGAATGCTCAACATTATCCAACCAATACATTAGCATCATCAGTTATTGGAGCATTTAGATACTTTTGCGAATTCTCAGAGCTAAATATCTATTCATTTGATTTTGGTTCGGATATTTATGATAGAGGAGTAAAAGACTTTATTATATATAATGATCTAACCAATCCTACCAAGCATATACAAAGGGAATATATTATTAGAGGGGACCATATTTTTTTTGAAATCATTAAAAAAGAAACCAACCTCAAATTAAAATACGAATCAACTTCGTATATAGAAAATAAAAAAGATTTAATAGCAAGATTGGATGGTCATACTTTAGAATTCAAACTTGAAGCCAAAAGAATAGATCTTTTAGAAAATGAAATTGAAATTCAAGTAAAGGCAATTGGTATCAACTTTAAAGACAATTTGGTCTATCGTGGTTTGGTCCCAAAAGAAGCCATGAGTGAAAAAGGTGATCATAATATGCCAGAAATAGGTTATGAATGCAGTGGAGCTGTAACAAGAATAGGGAACAAAGTTAATAAATTTAAAGTAGGTGATAAAGTTTTAGGTCTTTGTTTTTGCTCCTCGTCATCCCATGTAATTGCAAATCAAGATAGATTTGTTTTAAAACCAAAAAACATCTCATTTGTTGAAGCTGCCTCCATACCTCTAGTTTATTCAACATCTTATTACTCTTTATTTTGTAGAGGTAATTTAAATATGGATTTAAACGAAACTGTATTAATTCATTCTGGTACTGGTGGTATTGGATTAGCATGTATTGAGTTATTAAAAGCAATGGGATTCAAGTCATTATTATTTGTAACAGTTGGCTCAAAAGAAAAAGAACAATATCTACGTAACACCTATGGTGATTTTATTACTGGAATCTATTCATCAAGAAGCACTGATTATGTTCAAAAAATTAAACAAAAGATTTCAGAACATAAAAACATTGAAATATCAGTCTTTACCGAACTTGGAGTTTCAGAATTGGGTGTAGATGTTATTATAAATACTTTACCTGTTGAATTTATGGAGGCAAATTTTAACGCTTTAGCTCAAGGTGGCCGAATTGTAGATCTTAGTGTAACCCATTTAAACTCTAGAGAAACTACAGATTGGACAAAATTTAAATATTTTATATCCTATTCAACTTGTGAAGTAATGCAATCTGGTTTCAATAAGGCCAAACCTTTTTTGCAAATCATTACAGATATGATCGAAAAAGAAAAACTATCATTAATACCAATTAAAGAATATCCCATTACAAACATTAAAGAAGCAATAGAATACATATCTGAAAGAAAGCATATTGGTAAACTCGTTGTTAACTATGAATCCACACCAGATTTAATCCAAGATACAATCAATAAATCAAATGATGAATTTGAAAAGAGTTTTTTAGTGCCATCACCATCATACCAAGTTGATATCAATAGATTTGGTAAAACAATACTCCTAACTGGTCAAAAAGGTTTATCATTAACTATTATCAAATGGCTTCTTATTTACAACTCCAAAAAAGAAGAACAAGCAATTAAAAATATTATAGTTTTATCAAAGTCTCCAATCAAACATGAATTAGAAATTATTATAGGAAAAGCAAGATTGAAATCCAATGTTAAAATTTATTTTAAACAAGTTGATATATCAAATAAAGATCAAATAGACCAAATATTTGAACAACTTAACAAAGATCCAATATTAGATCCAATTGAAACAATTTTTCATAATGCATTTATTCCTGTTCAATCCGAGGCCCAAGAAATTGATATGCAACAATTAATAGACTCCCACGGCGCTAAGACTATTGGACTAATTAATTTATACAATGCTGTATGTTCAAAAGGTTTGGTTCTGAAAAATTTGGTATTGGCTTCTTCCATTGCAACAACATTAGGGGGTCATCGTCAGTGTGGTTATGTTTGTGCTAATGCAGTTTTAGATTCATTTTCAAAAGTATTAAGAAAACAAGGGGTACCATGTATTTCAATTAATTTTTCACCAATTGAACATGGTGGATATGTTCACAGAAATGAAGGTGTTCAAAAGCTTATTCAATCACAAGGTTTAGATTTAATTTCTACAAACTTAGTTATAGGAACTATAGATTTAGTGCTTCAAAATCAAGATCACTTAAATAACAAGATCCTTGCACAATTTAATCATTCCTCTTTTAACAAAACATTCAAAAGCAACCTACTTTCATATAAATTGGAATTTTGTGTAAATTCAAACCAATCAAGTAATGATGAATATGGCGATAGCGATGACGAACTATCGATTAGAGAGAAAATACTAAACAAATTTAGTGAGTTCTTGGCTATAGACCCTTCAAAGGTAAATGTAGATATTCCTTTAAGAGATTACGGGATTGAAAGTATGTTGGTTGTGGAGCTCAAAAATTGGTTAGAAAAATCATTTGTACCAAATATTTTAACAATATCACAGCTACAAATAACAACAATTAGTGGGTTGGTAGTTGCTGTCAAAAACGCTCTTAATAGATCAAACAATAGTAATAATAGTAATAACAATAGTAACAATAAAAAGAAAACCAATCAAAAGAAAGACCAGCAACAAAATAACAAAACAAATATCGAATGGGAAAATGAAATATTATTTGATAAATCAACAACATTACCAACTCAAAAACAAATTATAGAATATAAAGAATCAATCTTAGCAAACAATAATGAAAATATTTTATTATTAACTGGTGCAACAGGTTATCTTGGTATATATCTATTAAACAATTTAATTAAAAAATCAAGTGTAAAGTTAGTTTATTGCTTAGTTAGAAATAGAACCAAAGATGAAGCTATGAAAACAATAATTCAACTATTAAAAGAACATCAAATATTTAATAAACTTTCACAACACCAAATTAATAAAATTCAAATTGTAGTTGGAGACTATTCAAAAGATTTATTTGGTATAGAATGCAGCAATGAATACACACTACTTTCAGAACAAGTTCATATGGTTGTAAACTGTGCAATGGAACTACATCTAAAAAAGAACTACATAGATCTAAAAGAATCATTAAATGGTGTAAAACAATGTATAAAATTTGCAAGTCATAATAAACTAAAAAAAATTATACAATTCTCTTCTCTTGGGATGTATTCAAATATTGAAAATATAGAAGGCCCCTACCCAGATTATTATATACCTCCAGCAACCAAAGAATCAATGGAATGTGGTATTATGAATGGTTATCTTCAATTAAAAATCGTGGCTGAATATCATATTAAATATGCTTCATCCAAAGGTGTTCCATCAATGATCATCCGTTTACCATTCTTATTCTCTGATACCGATACTGGTATAGGTAGGCCAATAGACTTATTCCAAACTTTTATTCAATCAAGTTATTTAATGAGTGTTTACCCAAAAGAACTTCAAAATAAAAAAATGCATACCATACCAGTTTCATGGGCCTCAAAAACTATATCATTTATGATATTCAATTGTTGGAATCTTCAAACCCCATTCGAAAATTTACAATGCTTTAACCTTCCAGGAGACCCAATGCCATTAGGTGATATACTTGAATCATTAGAACCTAATTTAGCTTGGAGAAAGTTACCATCACTTCAATTTGTAAAGAAATTAGCAATTTATAATAATGAACAATGTAAAACCCTATTACCATTTATCAGTGGTCAGGATTTCCTCAGAAATATAATAATCAATTTTCCTTTTAAACTAAGTGACCAATTAAAACAAATGTTAATTTCAAATAATTTAAATAAAGGTTCTGGTGTCACAAAACAATCAATTTTAAATCATTTAAGCTACACTTTTAAAAAAAAAGTTTTTTAAAAAAAAAAAAAATTAAATAAACAGTTATCTTTCAAAAAAAAAATTAAATTAACTTTGTCTTGTAATATGATTTATTTAAATCATCCTTATTTAAATGGTAAATATGGCTTAATGATTCATTCCCATCTTAATTTTATTTTAAGGGTCTATATATTCCTGGCACTGTATACAATTGGATTTGGTTTTATTTTGGTCAATTGAAATTTCCAAATTGTATTTTCCCGAAAGGAGTTTAAGAAGTCCTGGTGAGTGTGGTTTTGTTGTAACAAAATCAATTAACTGTTATCTATGTCTAGATTTCTATTAAAGTAGGTGAGTTGTTCATCAACAAATGTAAAAAAATTAGTGGAAAATTTTTTATTAAACCTTAAGAAAAACCATTTCACCTGTATTGAGGCAATCTTGTTATTTTTTTCAGTTTGTTTATGTAGCCAATTTATAAATTTGTTGAATAAAAGGATGTAAACAATTCAAAAAAAAAAAAAAAATAGTTTTTAGATCTAAAAAGTGTTATTTTAGATCTATTGGAAAATTTTAAATAAAAAATTCAAATTTTATTAAAAAAATAGATTATTATTCTTGGAGATAAACATATTTATCAAGAGTAATTATTAAGGTTTTTTCTGATAAACTGACGAAGTATACTGGAGAACGAAATTCATAACGGAACTCTCCATAATTTTCAATTTCATGTGTGTCTGATAGATTATTTTCACCTCTTATTGTAACTAAACCATCACCACCACCAACAACTTGAACTTTAACCAATGTATCACCCCATGGTTCCTAAAATTATATTAGTTTAATTATTAAAAAGTAAATATTTTGAAACATATAATACCTACAAGTTTTTCTGAAGGAATATATGGTTCTAAATAAAAGAAAAAGAAAAAAAGAAAAAAAATTAGAAAATTTTTTTTAAAATATTTAATAAAAATAACAAAGCATACCAATAGTACATGATAGTGACACTTTTCATTTTAAAGAAATAAAAAAAAGATAAATTAATTTTTATTTTTTAATTAATGTAGTTTTTATTTTTTAATTAATGTAGTTTTTATAATTACTTTTTATTTTTTTGTAAAGCTTTAAGAATTAGTTGTAATTAATATATTTGAATTGAAGAAAAATTTTAAATAAAAAAGTTTGGTATTTATTATTTTTTTTTTTTTTTTTAATAAAATACACTTCGCTTAACCGTTTTTTTATTAATTTTTATCTTACTTTACAATTTAAAATAATTCAAAACATTTCACAAAAACAATTAATTATTATATATAAAAAAAGGGGTTAATAAAAAGGGGTGAAATATCAGTTTTTAAAATAACAGATAAAATTAAAAACACACTAATTTTTTTATTAAAATAATTTATGTGTTATTTAATTTTATCTTCTTTTACTTGTATTTAAAATTACCAAACTTATTGGTTATATCCACTATTTTTTAAAGGAGCTTAATTTTTTCATTTTTAATTTTATTATATTATTTAAATATAGTGACTTTGATTGGTTCATTTTTAATTGTAATCTTTGTAATAAAAATATTGTTTGTTGCAATTGGTGTCTATTGGATTATTATATTGAATGGTACAGTACCCGGAATAAATATGTAGACCCTTACTTTATTAAGATGGATAATTATTGAATCAATGGGCCATATTAAATATTTATATTAACCCCCAACACTTTTTCACCAATATCCCCTTTGAAAAAAAAAAAAATTGAGGAAATAAAAGAAATAATAAATAATTAACTATAAATTCATTACTTTATTTATTTTTGGTAAATATTTATTTTTTAAATTAATTTGAGGAACTGAAATTTGATTTTTCAACCAAAGCATTTAATAATAAAGTCTTTGGTTTAAAATTACCATAACAGATTAAAGCCATTTCATAAGCTTTTTTGTAAGTTGTATTAATGAATTTTAAGAGATTTTTAATATCCTTATTTAATGAATCGATATCGATGGTGGTATCTCTTTGTTTTTGCTTTTCTAATTGCTTGATATGATTATTTCTTTGATTGATTAAAGATAATAAATACTTTTCGTTGACTCTAGCTAAATGATAATAACTGTCGATGATTTCACTTGATGGTGATTTAATAACACATTCAACGATTCTGGCGATTTCTTTATAATGTTGAATTGATTGAGACAAGTAATCGAAACTATTGAAAACTGCGGAGAAACGTTCAAAAAGTTTTGATAGACGGAGATGATATAATAACCAACAGTGATGGTTTTCGTGTAATTTGGATAAGATATTTGTTTCATATTCTACTAATCTATTTAAAATTGGTTCTACCATTGGCTGAATTTGTTCTTCACCCTCTTCTTTCTTTTCTTCTTTGAATAATAAATCGTTATTTATGAAATCGTAAAACTTGGCAACATCGGATAAAATATTTAAAAACTCTTGATTGTTCTTATTATTATTCTTTTTATTGAATTGGCAAGTAAGCTTTGAGCAACTCCAAACTTGTTTAAGTATTTTGGTTTTATCGTCGTATTTAACTTTTGGTGAAATATAATTGGTTTCATCTTTGCAGAAAATACAATGGATTGATGAAACAAATCTTGAATTTTCAGTAATATCTGTACATCTTGAACAATCGCAAACAAAATTTTTTGATTTTAATAAAATCTTTTGTCTTTCAATAGTTGGTAATAATAAATCTACATATGAATCAAAAATTTGTTCACCCTTATTGATATCTTTAACAACTCTCATTTCTAATGTTGAATCTATTAATAAGAAAAAAAAAAAATTAATATAATAGTTTATTAAAAAAATTTTATAAAATAAGATAAACATACTTTGAATTGAAAAAAAGGTATTTGGTTCACAAGAGTGATTTAATAAAGCAGCTTTATAAAAATAACCATTTGAAATTGGGGTACGATTAAAATTATTTGAAAGACCTGCAAAAGAGTTTACAAAAATAGAGCATACAACTTCTAAATATTCCTCTTTATTAAATATTGATGATAACTCTGAATTTTCGCTTTTGACAATTAAATATACTTGGTCGAAAAGTTTTGAATATTTATCGAGGAATGATTTATTGTTTTGAATGAAAATTGATTTTTGATTGGTTAATTTACCAACAGTTTGTTCAAAGACTTCACTTGCAACTTTATTCTTCATAACCACTCTAAGTGCCAATAAGCTGATGGATGCATCACAATCGTGTTTTAATGATAATTCTACAAATTTGCTAATAAATGAGCATTCTAATTGATGCACCATTCCATCTGCACATTCATTGGAACAAAACCACATATTGCAACCATATTTGCATTGGAATGGGAAACCTGGTGTTGATTTTGGTTGCTCTGATGTTTGCTGTTCAGTTGAAATTTGATATTTGCAACAATTGAAACAATAATCTTTTTTATATAAAAAGTTTTCCAATGGGATCGAAGCAAATGAATTTTCTGAAAATAATGAATCACCTGGTTTTAATATATCTGTAGCCTCTACATATCTTCCTTTATCTGATTCTTCAATTAATTTTGCTTTATTAAACAATTCCATTATTACACCCTGTATTATTACTGTTTACTAAAAAAAAAATAAAAATAAAAACAAAAAATTTAAATTTAAAAAAAAAAAAACGAGTAATTTTTTTTTTTATTTTTTATTTTTATTTTTATTTTTATTATTTTGTTTTATTTTTTAGATGTAATGTTCTAACATTTTTTTTTTTATATATATTTATTTATAGCATTTTTTTTTTTTTTTTTTTAATTGGTTTTTTTTTTTTTTTTTTTTTTTTTTTGATATTTAAAAATATTTACAATGAAAAAAAAAAAAAAGATAAAAAAAAAAAGGGTAAAAAAAAATGTAGAAACACGACAATTTGTTTTGTTAAAACTTAATAATAGTAAATACAAGAAATATTTCTTGTTTTGTTAAAACTTAAAAAAAGAGACTACGTAATAAAAGAAAAAATATTAAATTTTTTAAAAAATTTTATTTTTTTTTAATTTATTTTTTTTTTATTAATTTATATTTTTTAAATTTTTCCTTTTCTTTTTTAAAAAAAATTTTATTATTTTTTTGAATTTTATAAATATCATATATTTTTAACTTTAATATATAAATAAACATAAAAAAAAAATGTCACAATTTGGTAATTATGTTGCCTTAGGTGGAGGCCACGAATCAGCACCATTCCCAGAATCATCAACTAATTGGAAAGAACTTATTTATTTTAGATCATGGTAAATATTAATTTTATGAACATAAAAAAAATAAAAATACGCACCCCCACACACGATATATCTCTATGGAAAATTTTTTAAAAAAAATAAAAATAGAATAAAAACTATAAAAAAATAAATTTATTAATAAACTTTATTATCTTTTTTTAAATTAAACATTATAATCTTTAACTAATAAATAATATAGGCAAGCACAAGGACTTGTTTCAATTTTCTATTATTTCTCATTAGTTGTTGGTCTTATTATGTTAATCTCAACTATTGTTACCACTGCAATTGCTGGTGGTGTTGGAGGTTTCTTCCTTGGTAAGTAAATAAAATCATATAATGATTATTATTATTATTATTATTATTATTATTATTATTATTATTATTATAATTATTAATTTTAATTTTTTTTATTAATTAAATATTTAATTTTGATAATAGGTTTACTTTATGGTATCATTGAATTCGTTCTTATTATTATTGGTGCCAGAATTTCATCAGAATTAATTTTATCAGTTTTCGATATGAGAGACAGCGTCCACAGATTCTCAAATAGCAATGGTCCAACCATTGTCACCGGTAACCCATCAAACTCAACCTACCAACAACCATCATACCAACAATCAAGTTACCAACAATCAACTTTCCAATCACCACAACAAACACAACAACCAGTATCAAATCAAAATCAAACCAGTTATCAAGAACCATACCAAGGTAATCTTTAAACAATAACAACAAAGATCCCTCATTTTAAATAATAGTATATGTATAAAATTTTCTTTTTTTTTTTTAATTGATAAAAAAAATAAAAAAATAAATCTTTGTCTCAACTTGTAGTAACAATTATAGTTATTTAAAAAAAAATATTTTTTAATAGTTTTTTAAAATAATAATAACAATAACAACAATTATATATTGTTTTTCTCTTTTATTTTGTTTTAGTTTATATATGTTTAAATTTTAAGATACAATGTTTACATCTGACTTTAAGTTATTGATTATATTTTTTGAAGAGGATGATGGAGGTGATTGACGAGTTGGAAAAGTGTGTAATTTCATATTTAAAAATGTATCTAAACGAAATTGTTTTTCTTTGGTTGTTGGTAAAACTTTTAAAGAGTTTAATATTTCAGATTCTAATTGGTTCCAATGATTTTCAATGTCGTCATAGCTTGAGGATACTGAGACTTGATTAGGTTCGAATGAGTCTATTAATGATACGATTCTATAAGATTCATTTGGTTTGAGTAGCCATGATCTTGGGAGAAATGGAATTAAATGTATCCAACATTTGGTTAAAAAACTGTAGTTTGGATGCTCCAATATTAAATCATTCTTTGTTACATGTGATTTACCTGCTTCTGATTGTTCTTTGATTTTATTTCTATTTAAAAGTTGGGTGATTTCCTTTTGTTTTTCTTTAATTTCTGTTATTACGTTGCCAAATCCTTTATTTTTGATATCACCTATAATATTAAAAAGTTCACCTTTGTCGCTGGTTGTGGAGTTTGTTGATTGTGTATTATTATTTTGTTGATTTTCAAGAAAATATCCATAATTATTTTGAAAACTAATTGAGTTTAAAAATCCCTTTGGTAATAACTCTTTTTCTGTAACTAAAAATTTTGAATTTTGCTTTTCGAGTTGAAAATATGGATTTCTTTTAATTGGTGTCCATAATAAAAACAATCCACTCATTTTATCTGATGTTCTGTTAACTTTTGATACCCACATTTTCTTTTCTTTTTTTTTTTTTTCGATGACAGTAGTGGCACTAAAAATACAAATATAAAACAAAATTTAAAATAAACAAATAATTAAATGATTTAAATAAATAAAATAGAAATGAATTGGTTGTGAAGTGTATGATATATTTAAAAATAAAAAATGAAAAATTAAAAAAATAAAAAAATAATTTAAAAAAATATTAAAAAAAAAATAAAAAAAAAAAATAAAAAAATAAAATAATAATTACTACAAATAATTCATTGAATTTGGAAAAAAAAAAATATAATAATTATTTCATTATTATAATAATAGGAATGTGATTATTACTTTTCTTTTCTTTTTTTTTTTTAATTTTTATTTTCTTTTTATGTATATTTTTATTTAGTTTAATTGATCAATTGCATTTTTATCAGGTATCCAAAAAGCTAAAGAAGAGTCTGAAGATGCCGCCATCATTGATCTAGGGTTCCACTGTACACAACCAACTGTATTTGAATGACCATTCCAAACTGCAACTTCCTCGCCTGTTAAAGTTTTCCAAACATGGACTGAACCATCCTCGCTTCCAGATAAAACATATTGTGCATCAGGTGAAAAAGATGCTTCAAGTACCGAACCATTATTATTTACAAAACTAGTATATCTTTGTTTCTAAAATAAAAAAGTAATTTAAAATTATTAATGATCTCTTCTACTATGATTATTATTCATATTATTATTACTTACAACTTCACCAGTAAAAGAATCTATTAAAAATATAACATTATTTCTTGTTGATAAAAGTATATATTTCCCATCACTAGTAAATTTCATTGTTGTCCACTCAACAGGCATTGGGTGATCAATTGAAAATGAAGAAAATGGACCTTTATCATAATTTCTGAGATCATAAAGTTTAATTGTATTTACAGATACTGCAGTTGCAAAAATAAGACCTTGTGGATCAAATGATACTGATGGTCTACCGCTTCTTCTTAATAATCCTTGACATATATTAGTTCTTAAATCCCACATCCTAATTGTATCATCTAACGAACCTGAAATAAATTGATCGTTTATTGGTGACATTGAAATTGATACTACCCTATAATAATAATATTATTAAATTAATAAAGTTCTTTTTTTTCTTTTTTCCTTTTCTTTTTCTTTTTACATACTTATTTCTATGACCTTTAAAATACTTTAAATATCTATTATCGTGTAATGATAAATATCTTAAAGATTCATCCCATGAGTTTTTTGATGCACATATAATTGATGTATTGCTATGTGTAAACTTTATTAGATCAACACCATATTTTTTGCTATATAAAGTTTTATTTAATCTATAGGATTAAAAAAAAAAGATGTTATTATTAAATTTGTAAATATTGTTATTTCTCGTATCATATTTAGTTTACATACTCTCCTGAGTCTATATTATATAAATGAATTGATTCATCGTCGGATGCTGTTATAAGTAATGAACCATCTTTATTAAAATCCATTGAATTTATGGGCATCTAAATTAATTGTTACATTTTTATATTGTATACATTAATTAATGGTTTTTTATAAATATATTTTGTGATATTGTGATAGTGTGAACATATGTTGGATCTTACATTATTACTATTATCATCTCTAAATAGTTTCCCTATACCCATATTTTGAACTATATTATCTGTTAATCTTAAACTTCCTTTCATTTTTTCTTGGTTATATTCGTTTATATTTAATACTTCTTTGTATCTTTGTTTTTGATTATTTATTAAAATTACAGATAAATATATACAAGGACAAAATAATAATAATTTTAATTTTATAAAAAAAAATTTTGAAAATTAAAAAAAATAAAAAAATGAAAAAAATGAAAAAAAAAAAAAATATTTTTTTTTGGTATATAGATAAAAAAAAAAAAAGAATTTATTTATTTTTAGGTTAAAAAAAGAAATTATTATTGTTATTATACTATTTATATTAAATAAAAATATCCAATTTAAAAATATTTTTATAAGAGAAAAGAAACATGTCCAACAAATCAAATTTTGAACTTGAAATCAAAGAGGAATGATGATGAAATTTAAATTTTATATGGGTGTGGGGTGAGTTTGGAAAAAAGATAATTACAAGAAAGAAAATATGAAATATGGTTATTACTGTTTACTTTTTAGATAAACTAGTTGAGGCTTTTTTTACAGTTGAGGATGTGGTACTTGGCATTGATTTTTTGGTTGGTTGGGGTACAACAGAGGATGATTTTGCTACAGTGGTTTTATTTGATGCAGCAGTAGTGGTAGTGGTTTTGGTAGCAGCTGGTTTTTTATTGACAGATTTGGAAATGGCTGATGATCTTAAGGCGTCGGCTTTGGTTGTACCAATGATGGGTGAGCTATATAAAGATGATGAAGTTGAAAATGGGGATGAAACCAATGGTGGTGATCCACCATCCATTCTTGGTGATGAAATGGGTGATGTATATTTAATACCAGTTGGTGCTACAACTGTTGATGATTCAAGTTTACTCTTCTTTTCTTTGATATCTGCCAATTTCTTTTTCTTTTCTTCGATTGATTCTGAAGTTGATGGAGCAGATGCTAATGTAGTTTTTTGAACTTTTAAATCTTCAATTTGATTCTTTACAGATGGTAAAGGTCTTTTCTTATTACTAACTGGAAGAAGAGCAATTTTTTCTGGGAGTGGAGTTTGGCTTCTTGATCTTGTGATCATTGGTGCAATATTTGTGCTAATCAAAGGAGTTGGTTTTGATGTAGCAGCAGTCGATTTTGATTTCAAAGCAGCAACTTTTGAACTTAATCTATTACTTTCAATATCAACAGATTTGCTACTCATTGATTTGGTTGTTTTGGATGCGAGTGATAACAATGTTGATGATGCTCTAGATTTCATAATTGGTGATGAAATATTTGGAGATAAAACTCTTGGTGAAATAACTTTAGAGATTGGTGAGGTAACTTTTGAAATTGTTTTAGAAACTGTTTTTCCAAAAGCGGAGTTGATAGTATCATTTGATCTACTTGATAATGTACTGGCTCTGGCCGAAACAGTTGATGTAAGTGGTTTAGATCTTGATGTATTACCAGCACTTGATAATTTGGGCTTTTCAGTTTTACTTGGTTTAATTGAATCTTTATTTGGCTTTTTCTTTTTATCCCTATCCTCTTCATCTTCACCATCGTCACCAGTCATTAATATTGAACTATTGGTTGAGCTTGATTGGTCTTCATAAACAATATCCGAATCATTGTTTGAATTTAATTTTTCTTCAATTTCCTTATCTTCTTGCTCCTCCTCTTCATCATCAAATTCTTCTTCTTCAAGGTCTTCTTCTTCCTCTTCTTCTTCAAGTTCCTCTTCCTCCTCAGACTCTTCCTGGCCAAAATCTTCACTTTCTTCAAGACTTTTTAATAATTTCTCTGCCTCCAATCTCTCTTTTTCGATTCGTTCCTGTTCTAATTTTTCTTTCTCAATGCGTTCTTCCTCTAATCTTTCTAAACGCTCTTGTTCTACTCTTGCCCTTTCTAAACGCTCTTGTTCTTTTTTTAAAAACAATTGGTTTTTAAAAGATGATCTTTGAATAAACATTCTAACGATAGATTGAATTTTGATGATGGCATTTAATCTTTCAATACGATCTTTCTCTAATTTCTCTTGCTCTCTCTTCTCTCTTAAAATCTTTTGGTATTTTCTCTTTTGAATACACATTCTAAATAATGACTGAATTTTAATAGCAGATGATCTTATTTGTTTAAATTTTTTTCTTTGAATAAAAGTTCTAATAGATGAGGATACAATAAGTGATGATTGATTCTTCATATGCTCTTCTTTAATTCTCTCTAGGTCTGCACAATCACTAATTAAAACTGTATTTCTTCTTGCTGATTTGGTCATTTTAGAAAGAACTCTTTCTCTACTTGAAATATTTTTACCACTAAAGAAAACATTACTATTATTATTATTGTTATCACTTAATTGTTTGTTTTGTTTTGTTGGTGTTGTATTGCTTAATTGGTTTAACAAATTATTATTGACCTTTAATGGTGTTAATGGTTTTTGATTATTATTATTATTAGATGAAGTTAAAAATGAATTCATATATTTTTTCTTTGATTTTGGTGTCATTGAAAGAACATCCATATTCTCCTTATTTGATGTGGTTGTGGTTGTATTTGTAGTTGGAGTGGCTTGATAGATTTCAAAAAAATCATTATTATTTCTAGAGTTTATTATTTTAACTTGATCTGGGTTCTTTGAAAATTTTACAGATTTGGATGGTGTTAAAGCTTCCATTGTTAATTTTGATAATTATTAAAAAGGAACTTGTTTAAATTTTAGTAAAAAAATTAATATATTTTTAATTTTAAAAATGAATTTGATTATTTCTTTAAAATAAATAATTACCTTTTTTTTTTTAAATATTAAAGTTTCTTTCTTTTTTTTTTTTTTTTTGTTTTTTTAAATATTAAAAAATATATTCGAAAATAATTTATTAGAGAAAAAAATAATTGTATGAAATTTGTAAACAAAAATTTAATATAAATAATGGTAATGAAAATTAAAAAATTGAACAAATAAAATAAAAATTTAATATAAAAAATAATAAAAAAAAAAAAAAAAAAAAAAAATTTTTTAAAATTTGAATTTTAAGCGCATTAAAAAAAAAATATAACAGTTTTCACTTAAAAAATTTAAATTTAACTGTATTTGACAATAACACATTAACTTTACAATTCCTTTAACTATATCTAGAAAACAATATAACAATTAAGAAAAATTAAATTAAAAATAAAAAAAATAAAAAAAGAATACTTAATTTTTTATGGAAAAATGGATAACAACAATAGAAATAATTGAAAAATAGAATAAAAAATATGAAAAAGAATAAATAACCATTTTGTATATTTATTATAATTATGTATATAAATATATATTTTATATAAATCAATTTTGATATTTATAAATATTTTTTTTTATTTTTTTTTATTTTTTTTTTTTTTTTAGTTTTATTTTTATTTTTTTTAATTTTTTTTAATTTTTTTAATTTTTTTTTTTTTTTTTCTTTTTAAAATTTATTTTCATCAACAAAACGATAATGAACAATCAATCACTTCAAAGAGTTGCTATGATCTCAGAACACTTAAATCCAAGTTCATCTGGTAGGTTTATTCAAATATATTCATAATCACATTTAAATATAAAATATTTTATATTTTGGAAATTGTGCTTATTTTTTGTGTATCGTTTTTTTTTTCAAACAATGTTTTTAAAATAAAAACAATTTATAAATTGTTTTTAAAACCAATTTATTGCAAACCACAACAACATCAACAAAATCTAAAAGAGGAAAAATCTATTAATAAAAATTAAAAAAATAATTTAATTAAATAACGAACAAAAATACAATATTGTGGGGGTGGGTTCATAAATGTGGTTTTTTTTTTTTTTAATTAATTTTTGTTACAATTCTAAACAATAACCAAATAAAAAAAAAGAAATATTGTTATTGTTAGAGTGTGTTTTTGCAATATATTTTAGGTTTTTTTTTTTTAATTTTTTTTTTTTTTTTAATTTTTTATTGCACACAACAAAAGGTTTAATTAAATTAATAAAGATACATGCTTTTAATATTAATTTAATTATTTTCTTTTGTGTTTCAACATTTTTTTTTTTTTTGTTTTTTTTTTCTTTTGTAATTTTATTTTCAATACTAACTTATTTGTTTTTTTTATTCTTTAGAATTAAATATGAATAATACAGCTGCTTCAGTTAAAACCCCAAAAGAAGAATTAAAAGACTTCATTGATATCTTCCCAATTCTCTCCAATGAAATTATCAGAGAGCTTCCAGGTATGGACATGCCACCACAAACTGTTAAATGGGTCGAAAAATTATTAGAAACCAATGTTATGGGCGGTAAAATGAATCGTATGTATTTAAATATTATATAATAAACAAAAAAAAAAAATATACTAATACTTATTATTATTCATTTATCTTTAGGTGGTCTTACTGTTTTACATTCATTACAATTATTAGTTGAGGGTCGTCAATTAACCCGTAGTGAAATTTTCCAAGCCAATGTTTTAGGTTGGTGTGTAGAATGGTTACAAAGTTTCTTCTTAGTTGCTGATGATTTAATGGATTCATCAATCACCAGAAGAGGCCAACCATGTTGGTATCGTCAACCAAATCCAATCTCAAACAATGGTACTCCAATTGGTACTATTGCTGTCAATGATTCATTCATCTTAGAATCATGTATTTACATTTTAATCAAGAAATACTTTAGAAATGAACAATATTATGCTGATATTTTAGATCTTTTCCACGAAACCAGTTATCAAACTGAATTAGGTCAATTATTAGATTTAACCACCCAACCAAATAGAGGCGATTTTTCATTATTTACTTTAAATACGTAAGTATTTAAATTTAGATAGTTGCTTACAATCATGTATAAACAAAATAATAATTATTTTTTTATTTTTTTTATTTATTTAGCTATCGTCGTATTGTTAAATATAAAACTGCCTATTATTCATTCTATTTACCAGTTGCTTTAGCCATGTTAATGTGCGGTATTAACTCAACTCCAGCTTTTGAAACTGCCAAAGATATTTTATTACCAATGGGTGAATACTTCCAAATTCAAGATGATTATTTAGATTGTTATGGTTCACCAGCCGTTATCGGTAAAATTGGTAGAGATATCGAAGAAAATAAATGTTCATGGATGATCTGTCAAGCTATTCTCAATGCTACTCCATCCCAAATTGAAACCTTAAAGAAACACTATGGTGTTGATAATCCAGAAGATGTACAAATCGTTAAAAAACTCTTTGGTGAAATCGATCTTAAAAAGATTTTCAAAACTTATGAAGAAGAAAGTTATGGTTTATTAGTTAACAAAATTAAACAAGTTCGTATTATGCCACAAGAAGTTTTCCTTAAATTATTATCTAAAATCTACAAGAGAGATTTATAAACTAAAAGCAACCTATTCCATTAATCAATAATTTTAATTAAATTTTAAAAATAAATAATTTTTTTTTAAATATAATCATCCACCCCCCCAATCTATTCTTTATTTATTATTTCAAATTTCATAATGCAGTATTAGAAAAAAATATAAATACACCTTTTTTTTTTTAATTGTTTTTTTTTATTTATTTTTTTTTAATTGTTTTTTTTAATTGTTTTTTTGATATAGTTTAATCTCTAATTTCTTCGTCTTCAATTCCTCTAATATATAAAACATTATTACATCTAATTAAAACTTCGCCTAATTGACCCATAACTGCACCATCTATCCATTCTTCAGTTGCTAACATCTAATTATAAAATGTAAAATAAAAAAAAGATATTAGTATATAAATATATGGTAATGCTTTTTAAATCTATAATTTATAAATACTTGTAAATTCATATAACTATCAACTGATGATAAAATACCACGATATTCCATTCCACCCCACTTTAAACGAACTGCTATTTTTTTACCTTTTAATCCATATAAAAAAGGTTTTGGTGATAATGCTTCGATTTTATTCTATATTTTAAAAATGATAAAGAGAGTAAGTAAATTATATTTAATAACAATAGCAATAATAGTAGAAATAATAAAATAAAAAGAAATCTAATAAGTTATTTATAGATATCATCTTACCATTTTTAATAACTTTAAATTTGTTTATATATAGGTTAAGGTGATTTTTTTAATTTTTGTTTATTTTTATATTTACAAAATAAATATTATTAATAAAAGCTATATACAACCAAATAATAGAATTATTTAAATATTTCAAAAATTATTAAAAAAAAATGAAAGATGAAAATTAAAAAAAATTTAAAAAAATATAAAAAAAAAATTAGTTTTTTTTTTTAATTTTTTTTAATTTTTTTTAATTGATGAATTTTATAAAATTATTGAGAATGATCAAACAAAAGGATTAGTATAAAGAAAAAAAAAAAGCAAATAAATCAATAGGTTATTAGAAGAAAGCTAATGGTATCAAATATAGAGTTTTATAAATTGTAACAAATAGTTATTATTTTATTTATTTTTATTTTAAAATTGTACTACTGTGTATCTTCTATTGTGAATCTTTCCAAATCTGGTGAGTTTGTTATCCAATTTTTAAATTTTATTTCTTTTAATTTTTCATATGCCTTAAAGTAATTTTCAGATTTGTGTTTACAATCATAGTAGTTACTGTTTCTGTAAAATTAAAAAAATAAAAAAGATTAATTAATAACTGTGGAATATATAACAATAGTATAATTAAATATAATCAGGATACCTACATTAGTTTATCCAGTTCTGGTGATGGGTTTTTTAATTTGAGTTGTTTAATAGTTTCATTAAATAGTTTAAATATATTGTATTTACAAATTGAGGCTCTTTGGGAAACTGCATCGAAATTCTTTTGGTTTGTGCCCATCTTTTTACCATTTACTGCTATTGTAACTTCGTGTTGATTTGGGTAACTATAATTTATTGATAACCCTGATGATACGGCATTTGAGTTATTATTTTTTCTTTTTTTATTACTTTTTTCTTCATTATTATTTTCTTCATTTTTATTTTCTAATTGTTTTGTTTCTAATAATACTTTTGAAAATGGGAATTTTAAATCTGTTGAAAAAATTTGAAAATCTAAATTAAATGTGAAGGGTTCTTCAAAGACTTTGTTTTTATGGTCATCATCATTATTAATATTAATTGTTTTTAATTCATCTTCGATTCTACCAATAATTCCTCTATATACACTGGTTTTATTAAATAGGTCACCAATTGTTAAGCTTGATAAATAAATTGGTGAGTGGTTTTGGGTAAAGTGTAATAATAGTGAACCTTGAATACCTAAAATATTCCATCTCGCGATTTTGTCACTGCATGACATCGATACTGTGGGATCACCTCTACCTGGTTTAACTCTTAATACCCCAACTTGGTGATACCCTAGGCCTGCTTCTTTTTTATCCTCTGGTTCACCTGTTACTGGTTTTGCACCTGTTCTTTGAATATCTTCAATAATTTCAATTTTAATTTTTTTCAATTGTCTTTTTTCTTCCTCCTCTTCTTCTTCTTCCTCTTCTTCTTTTTTATCATCACAGTCTTCAGTCTTTTCACTGTTTGATGCTAATTTATCTGTTTCTAAACTTTTTGGGAAAATTGAACAGTCACCACCTAAATTGTATGATATAAATTATTAGTTTTGATTTATAGTCCCTATTATTATTATTATTATTATTATTTTGATAATGAATAATTACATGGTGTCTGATTAACATAAAAATGTAGTGAATGATTTTTTTTTAATTTAATTTCAGGTAACATGTTTTCTTTTAGTTCAATATCATATATAATACTACTTTCATTTGATTTTATAAATTTGATAATTTCGTTATATGTAAATCTAAATGATGTAAAATATTTTATTAGTGACTTTATTCTTTATTATGATTATGTTAATTTAATAAACAAACCTTTGAAATGCTCTTTTACAAATAATTTCTGCATGAGAGTCATTTAAAACATCACCTTTGTTTGATAGTGATGATTTACCTAGACATCTATTTCCAGTTCCTAACGATATGACTTGTTTAATTTCATAGCTGTTATTTGATGGATTGTCAATTACCAATACAATTGTTGCTAGTACTGTCCATTCGTTATTTTCAATATTGGGCTTACCTTTTTTAGCTAATTTCTTTTCAAAAAATTGGTGACTAAAATTTGTAATCTTTTCAGAAAATGATTTATCATTTCTCCATGCCATTATTTTTAAGAAATATAAAAAAATAAATCAAAAAAAAAAAAAAAAATTTTTTTAATTTTTTTAATTTTTTTTAAACTATATTGCCCACACAAAGGTTATATTATTAATTAATATAATTATTTATGGATATGAAATGATTTTTAAAAATAATTAAACATTTAAATTTGATATAACATTTATTTTGAAATTTTATAGAAAATTTAATCAAAAATTATGGACAAAAAATGAAAATTTAATCAAAAATAATTTCGATTAAATAGAGAATTGATGTACCCTTATATCCAGTTACCTTTTCACTAGTGTATGATCTATTTGAAGTAAGCATAACTTGTTGAGTGGAAACTGTTATTGCCTTTGTTTCATTTACACCATAGGATGGATTATGATCATAGTTTTCATGATAAACAAAGAATGGATTTCTTTTTTCAGTTTCAGTACCTTCTTTAAAAACAAAGTTTTCAACTACAGCTCCAGCAACTAATGTCCAATTAGCTTCATTAAAAATTCTATGATGGAATTTGATTTTGAATGTTCTTGATTTTGCACTGGGGAATTTAATTACATATATTGATGGTAAATAGATGTTTTGTGCTGAAAGGACCTATATGTAATAATAATTAATAAAGAATCAATTTCGTATATTATAAATTAAAATATAATTACCTGGTAACCACCTGCCAAACTATGTGTAAATGTATTCCAACCTAATGAAGGGGGTAGTCCAAATAAATGTGATCCTTTGGAATCATCAACTTCAATAATATTTGGAGGAGTTGAAGTGTAGTCAAAAGCTCTGACTGGAAAATAGGTGAAGTCAGCACTTCTGAATACTGTAGCAGCATCAAAATAGGGTGGACGATAGTATCCATATACTGGTGAAAGATTTTCACCATGAACATGACGTGAAAGTTTCCATCCAGCATTAAGTATGGTTTTATAAAAGTCAATTGTATAAGAATGGATTCTTGATCTAGCATCATTAACATCAAAATCACTGAAACCCCATTCTTTACCATAAAGCACACAATCTCTTTGAATACATAGGTATTGAGAAGCGGTTAAAATATATAACCCAATGGTATTTATCTAATTTTAAAATAAAAAATATTAATAGTTTTTAAAAATTTAAAATATAAAAACAATTACTAAACATACCAATTCACTTTCTTCCTCAAAATAAATCAAACCATCAGTAATTTTATCACGATATAGAATTAGCTGGACTTGGAGAGATGATGAGAGGGTTTCATTTGGCATTGATTTGATTTCATTTGATATTAAGGAATCATTTACATTTTTATTACCATTTCTTTTGAAATACTCTTCAGCCAAAATATAATAATCATCACCAGTTTTTTGAATTTGTTGGAATCTAATAATGCATTGTCTTTTTCTTTCATCACTTAGTTTTTTATCAATGAGCTTTTCAACTGCTTCCATGATTTGTTTGAAACTAAATTATCATAAAAACTATTAATAAATTATCTCTTTTAAAAATTTAATTGATTGTACTTACAACACCTCTTGGCTGTTGAATAAACCAAGTTTTTCAAAAAGAAGGTTTAGAGCACCAAAGATAATTGGTGCAACACCATATGGGTCGGCTGATAATGCAATACCCAAAATTTTCCATAAATCATGAAATGGAAATTCACCATAAAGTTCTTTGGCACTCTTTTCAGCTTGTATCTCTTGAAAAGCTATTTTTGCATTATTCATTTGTTCATTATCAAAGGTAGTAAAGGAACTATCTATTTTTTTCAACTCTTGTAATTTTTCCTCTAAAAAAAGTTTAAGTTTTTCATCATAGTTTTCATAAACTTTTTTTGATTTATCTCTACCTAAAAAATATTTTAAAAAATTGTTATTTAATATTTCCCTGACATAATAAATAAAACAATTATTTACTTACAATCTTGTAGACGTGTAATTTGTTGATTAGAAAGAGACATTGTATATAAATGATAATACTATTGACAAAATTTTCCAGATTTATATAAAAAAAAAAAAAAAAAAAAAATTATAAAAAAAATAAAATAAAAAAAAAATGGGGGATTTACAAATAAAAAGATTCATTGGAACATCCCATTAATTTTAAAAATTTCCTTTTTATACCAATTTACATTAAAATAAAAAAAAACCTACCTTTGTTTTTACAAATTTATATATAAATTAATTTAAAATAAAATAAATATTCTAGCATCATATTGGCATTAAACATTATTTTTTTTTTTGTGCAAAAAAAAAAACAAAAATAATTTTTTTTAATGTAACCACAGAGTGATCTTAACCCCTATCAGAAATATTTAAATTATTTGAAAAACAAACTGATTAATATTCATTTAAAAAATTAAATTTGTTAAAAAATAAATTAAAATAATTACACTAAACACCTGATTAGTTATTATAAATATATTTATAATAATTAAAAATGTAGAATTATTTTTTATTATAATTAATTTTAATTATCTATTTTTATCTTTTTTCCTTTTTTTATAGAGGTACCATATTCACAAACAAAATGATCATTTAATCATATTAAACATCTTTTTTATATTATATAGGTCTCTGTACCATCATATGAATAATATGAAAAAATTACAAATCAACAAAAAATTAACTGTTCAATTGGAATAAAAAAATTAATAAAATATGTAAACTTCAAAATGTGGTTAAAAAAAATTAAATAAAAATATAAAAAATTTTTTTATTTTTATTATTTTTTTTTAATTTGTTTACAAACCAAATTCATATTTATTATTTTTTATTTACAGTACCAAGTAATAAATGCACACTCATATATTTTCACCTAGGGATTTTGATGACATTAGAAATGTTTCGTTAAAATTTATTCCTAAATCCAAAATTAGTGAACTAATTGATCGTGGAAATTTACTTAGTTCAAGGGTTTTTTGAACTTGTCACCAACATTTCAAAGTAATTTAACATGAACCGGGTGTTTTCTCTTTTTAACCATTTATTATAGATCATTATATATAGTTTGGAATAATATATTTTTAAGAAATGAAATTCATAAACATATTTTAAAGTTTATTTCACATAGTCAAAAATAAAATACCTGTATCTAGATTCTCATTCTCTCTATTAAAACCTATATAATTATGTTAATTATTTATATTAAATTTAAAAAAATAAAAAAATTGTTTGGTTCCCATATTTTGTACAACGCATTTTTTAAATGTATTTTTAATAAATAAATTAAATAAATAAATATTATTATCTAATTTGTTTTTTGCTTTTTATTTTTTTGAATTTGGTTAATAAATAGTTTTTTTTTTTAAAATAAATTTACTTTGGGTATTGATGTAGTTTTACCACCATAGTTTGAAATAAATTCAAAAGATAATATATGACTTGTGGGCAATGGTGCTGGGAAATCATAATATAGTGTGGAAGATTGTCTGCACTTTGGTACTAAAATTTGAGTTAACTGTAAAAAAAAAGAATATAAAGTTAATAAAATAAACAAAAATTCAAAAAATAAAAAATTACTTACATGTTGTTCACAAGATAGTTCATTTTTTTGATTTGTGCTATAATAACTTATTGATATACCTTTAATTTGAGACTTAACACCATCTAAATCATTATGAGTTATTATTAAACTAAAACCTCTAATTGAATTTATATTTGATTGGTTTAAAGTGATATGAATTGTTTTGGGTGATTTAATTGTAATATTTGTTTTTAAGGGATTTCTTTTTTGTGCTATAAAAGATGAAGAATATAGAGTATTCTCGTATATATCTTTATCTTCAGAGGAAAGAGGCAAAGAAGAGAATGACCAAGTTGAAATTTCAGATAAAGAGTCAGAATAACCACCATGAACTGCTATTCTACCAATATGGATTTGGGGTTTAGTTGGCATTGATAATGAACCTAAACTTAAAAATGTTGGGATTGAAGGTAGAGTAAACTTTAATGAAATAATACGAGCATGAATTGGTTGGGGTAAGATAAATGATACACAAGAGTGAGGTTGTATTACTAGATTAGGATCACTAGAACTCCAGCCATTTGGATGTAATACCCATTCACCAATATCTTGATATTGATCCTCACTTGTAAAAGTTTTGCCAGCTTTAATATGAATTTGTGGGACGTCGTAGTTGTGATAACCTAAAGAGTCTACAATAATTGAAATTGAATAAACCAATGACTCGTATGAAAGAACAATATCTATATCAACGGTATTTATATCTTGAGGAGCTTTCCAAAACATATTCAATGGTAGTATAGTTGGGGCCAATAGTATAGATTCAATTGGTGGCGAACTAGAACAGGTTGGGACCGACTTTAAAATACCTCCTTTGGGGTACTCTGCCAATGGTGTGAGGGTTTCTGATAAAGACTCGTAGCTATTGGGTAGAGATGATAAATTATTTACATTTGTATTTACATTGTTATGATTGAAATGAAGGTCCAATAATACTTTTTGATAAAACGATAATTTGAATTTAGATTTTGATAAATAAAAACTTCTATCTGCATTCTGAATTTTTTGGAATAGTGTTTCTTGCTTTACAATCAAAATTGAACAACTATTACAAATTGCAATTGGTTTTGGACTTTCAAATTCAAAGATCTTCATTTGATTAGGGGAAACACAAGCAGGGCAAAATCTTTTATAACAATATGAGCATTGTTGATGTCTAATTTTATCCAAGAACGCTAGTGGCTTGCCACATTGTGGACGTTGGCAAATGGAAGATTTGTATTTACTATTCTTTCTCACTGTAACCTCTAATTTTTCATCTCTTTCAAATATAAATCTTTCTGGATTTAGTAAATTGCTAGATATTGATAGTGATTTTAATAAAGAGTCTCTTTCTTGTGGTGATATATTCAATTGAATTCTTTTACATTCTAATTCCAATGCCTCTAAAAATGATATTGTTTTTCCTTCATTATTTAAATTTAAAATTCTTTTAACCAAAAATGTATATTGTGAAATAGGTGAGTTTGAGTCATTTAAATTGAGCTGAATAGTTTCAATATTTTTTTGGTCTTGATTTTGTGATTGCTCTTTTTTATCGTCACCATAATCATTATAAAGAACAATTTCATCTTTATCTGATAGTTTTTTTAAAGATAAAATTTCTGGTGAGGTTATGATTGGTGAGTCCAATAGTTTCTTATTTCTATTTACTTCCTGGTCTGTATATTCATCTTGTTGAGGTTGTTGATCGTTTATTAAAATGGTTTCTTTTTCTTTTGTTGGAGATGATAAGTTAATTGAGGAGTTTGGTGAAGTAGTTGGAGAAGATTGACCCGATTTATATTTTTTCATAACCGATAAAATATCATTAAAACTATTATTTTTACTATTATTTTTACTATTGCTTCTACTATTGCCTCTGCTACCAGTACCATTGCCACTACTATTATTACTATTATTTAATAATACCAATAAATTATCAATTTGATAGTTTATGAATGTATTGGTAATAAGAGTATTTTTTTGTTGTTGTTTTTTTCTTTCCATTGATTGATAGATATCGTTGTTTATTAACTGGGTATAGTTTGAGCTATTGTTTTTATCGATAGAATTTCTATAGGTTGGATTAATATTGAGACTAAATGAATTATTATTACTGAAATAACTATTGGAATGATAACCAAATACTTCAACTTTCCCGATAGTTAATGGTTTGTGTTTACCACTAAATATAATTTTTACGATTCTGTTAAAATATCTATCTAATGTTATACCACCACTAAGGATATTATTATTTAAACGATTTGAATATGCATCCCATGGAGAATTTGATAAAATATAACATAACTTGGTTCCAGTTGTGCATCTTGGAATTTCGATATCTTGAAGTACAAAGTTTAAATCATTTAAATAATTACCGACTTGGATATCCATTAACTGTGGGAAACTATCTGAGCTTGTACCATGGGCCACAGTGATGCAAATTTCGGTAACTACGCTTGGCTGACTAAGATAAATTACCATTTCAACAGAATCTGTATCATTGGGAAAAATCCAACAAAAATCATCAATGTCTCGAATTAAAATGGAGGGATTTAAATAGCTTGATAATAAACTTGGTAATGTCTTGACACAACTCGATGGTGCACTTGATATCCAATAGGGCGACAAATCTTTCCCAATACTTGAGTTAAAAGGGAAATAACGTGAACTAAAACCAAAGCAATTACCCAAGAATAATAAATACTGGTAACTACGATTTTCATCTGTATGACTATTTTGATATTTTCTTTGGCTTGATAGTAAATGACTTGTTGATGCTACAGGAGTTGCTTGAATGAGCTCTCTCATTACTGGTGAGGGTGGTGATGGATTGTTATGATATAATATACTACAAATATCGGCACTTGCAACATAAAATTCGACCAATGCATTAAATATTTTTAAATTTTTAAAGCTACTTAGCATGAACTCTAACGAACTTGAACTGCCAAATGATATCATGTCATCAAATGATTGAATACCAAGCTCTGATCCCATCTTGGAAATGATTTGGAAAAAATTAAAAAATAATACAATATTGACACGTTCCAATGAATCTAAACAACTATATCTTATAATTTCTTTTTGTGGCTTATAGTTTAAAAATAATAACTTCTTTTCATTGTTATTTATATTGCTATTTAAATTTGAGCTTGATGATAATGATATTAATTGTGGGGTAGTTGGTAAATTTGATGTTGATGCTGTTGGTGTTTGATTATATGAATTTAATGGTGAAAATGAACTTTGTGGTGTAAAAGCTTGTGATGGAGTTGAGGTTGTAGAGTTATTTATTATTGAAAATGATGATGGAGATAGTGGTGTCACTGAACTATTAAACTCACCACTGTTGTTTGTTAATGATGGTGATGCTATTGTTAAATTATTAAATCCACTGACTTGATTTAACAATGGACTAATAATGTTTGGGTTATTATTATTTATACCACCACTATTTTTTAAAAATGGTGATGACATATTATTATTATTATTATTACTATTGCTGTTACTATCAAAAGGCTTTATTAAACCAGAGGAAAAACCTGAATTATCCAATGCTGATTTTGTTGAATCCCATAACATTTGAACAGTTTTTGTTAAGTGGCCATTATTATTTTTTAAACTATTAATCCAATCGAATGAATAAATTTGTAAATCTACATTTAAATAAGAGATAACATTTTCACAGCACTTTTGATATAATTGAGATAGAATAAGCTCTTGCTTATCACCTTCTTGTTTTAATAAATCTACCAATTGAATCGAGGGTATACCAGCTAGATTTGAGTCTTTATTATATTCATAGAATTTTTGATAACGATTTAATAGATTTTGATAGTAAATTTCTGATTTTTCGAATGGATTTGGATTATCTTTACCACGATCCTTTAAAAACAATTCAATTTCGTTGCCTTGATTCTTTGAAAATGCTCTCCACCATAATGGTACTGTACCTCTTCTCCATATATGTGATGTCCATTTTATAACTTTATCGCCACTCTTAAAAACTATATTTTCATTTTTTAAATTTGTTTCTTTTTTTGAATTATCATGATTTTCATGCTTCTCGTCTTCTTTATGTTTTTTTTCGTCACTATTATTACTGTTATCACTATTATTTACATCTTTTGAATCTTTACTATTTACACCTGTATTATTATTGTTTGCATTATTATTATTTTTTGATGAATCTGGTGATGATATTATTATCTGTTGGTCTTCATATTTCCACATAATTAATTCGTTTTCATATTCATTTGCTGGGCTTGCATTTTCGTTGATACCTGGTGAAAAAAAATGTGTACCTGGATTTAACTTAGATCTTTTCATAATATATCCAATAGATGCTAATAATGAAATTAAGTTAATAAATATAAATTAGAAAAAAAAAATATAAATATTATAATAACTTACCATTTAAAGTTGATAAGGGTTTAATTGAAACATAACCCTGTAGTAATACAACACATAAATGTGATAATGAGGCATTTTCAAATGGCTTTCTCATCCATTCATTCCAAGCAAATTCTGAGCAATATTGAAATGGTGTAGTATTATAATTTGATGGGAAATAATTTGTTAAATCATAATTTTCACAATAAAAATGGGTACCATCGAATGGGAATGTTTGTAAATCTTTTAAAATCTCTTTAACTGTTGGGTCATTTGATGTTATATTTGAAGAAGTTGCAGTTGTTGGTAAATCACTATTATTACTATTATTGTAATTTGCATTTGATGATGGTGGTGATGATGATGATGAAAAACTATTTAAAAATGAATTATTATTCAGCAATGCTCCACTTGTTGATGATGATACTGATGGATCTATATTAGTTTCTTCAACAAATGTTGTAGTCCATGCCTCATCATTTTGAATCTCATTTGATTGATAAGATGATAAATATGACAAATCGATTTTAATCCATGATGTTTCGATAATTGTATTAATGGGGTAGCAACCTAATAACTCGCCTTCGTTTCTAATCTATTGAAATAAAATTTTATAGCTATATTAATAACCATTTATGTATGTTTTTTTAAATAATAAATTTTTATACTTTTGTTGCTACTAATAAATGTGATGATTTTTCTGATATGATGTATCCCAAAATTGCTAAAACTCTAATATTTGATTTTAATGTATGTTTCTTTTTTAAGTATGATACTGCTTGTCTGTGTGACGGGAAAATATCGACTCCTGGTATACCTTCAAATAACAACATACCACATCTACCCTCAATTCTAACAATTTGTGTATCTTTTTTAGTTGATAATGATGATACTATAAACTAAATTATAAAAAAATATTAATATTATATACAAAGCCATGAAATATTTTATTAATTAAAAATAACAACATACCACATCTCCATGAGAAGTTTCAAAGATATCATGGTATGATAATCTTCCTTGTGTATTAGTTTGCTGTTGTTGTTGTTGCTGCTGTTGTTGTTGTTGGTGATGAGAGTGGTAATTATGTGAAGGTTGTGTTTGATGTAAAGAGTTACTTCCACCACTAATATTACTCATAGTCATTATTTTGTGGTGTGAATTTCTTTAATCCAAAATTGAATGTAAAATATTAAATTATAATTGATTACTATATTATGTAAACTAAAACATATGATAAAAAAAAAATTTATTAATAAAAAAAAAAGTGAGATAAGATAAATTTTTAAAAAAAAAAAATTAAAAAAAAAAAAAAAAAAAAAAAAAGAAAAATAAAAATTAAAAAAATAAATTAAAATAAAAAAAAATCAAAACTGGGATTTAAAATATATTTATTTATTTACCTTTATTTGAAATTATTTTTTTAAAAATTTTCACAAGATCTTAAATTTGTGTTTGATTGTTTATATGTTTTATTGTGGTGGGAAAGAAGCCTTTTTCCTTTTGGCTATGAGAAAGAATTATGATTTAAAAGGAATTAGGTGTTTTGAAAAATTAAAAAAAAATGTAATAAAAATCTTTTTTTTTTTTTTTTATTTTTTTTTTTTTTATTTTATTTTTATTTTATTTTTTATTTTTTAAAAAATTTTAAAAAAAAAAAACTTTTCTTTCATTTTTTTTTTTATTTTTTTATTTTCTTATTTTCATTTTCCATTTTTAAATTAATTAATTAATTAATTAATTAAATAAATAAATAAAATAAATATAAATAGATTAATAATCCGAAAAACATATATTGTTATTTTATAAATAGGAAAATAAAAAAATGAATAGATCAATTTTAAAACTAATTAAAAATAATAATTATTTAAAATATAATAGTAAATCAGCTTTTAATTATGCATCTACCCAAAGAAGATCATTTGCAACAATTGGACAAGCTACCAAAAGTAAAGCAGATGAAAAGAAACCAATTTATTTAGATATGCAATCAACCACTCCAATTGATCCAAGAGTTTTGGATTCAATGTTATCACTTTATACTGAAAGCTATGGTAATCCACACTCAAAAACCCATGACTATGGTTGGACCTCAAATGATTTAGTCGAAGATGCTAGAGATGTATGTATAGAATATACAATTTGGGTTTTACATGGTTTGTAACATTGAATACTAATCATTATTTTTTTTAATATTACTATAGCAAGTTGCCAAACTTATTGGTGCAGATTCAAAAGAAATTATATTTACTAGTGGTGCTACAGAGTCAGGTAATACAGCTATTAAAGGTGTTGCAAGATTTTATAAAGAAAAGAAAAATCATATTATTACCACAGTCACAGAACATAAGTGTATTTTAGATTCATGCAGACATTTAGAAATGGAAGGTTTTAAAGTTACATATATGCCAGTAAAAGAAAATGGTTTAATCGATTTAGAATTATTAGAAAAGACAATTACACCAGAAACCTCATTGGTATCTATTATGGCAGTTAATAATGAAATTGGTGTTATTCAACCACTTAAAGAGATTGGTAAACTTTGTAAATCAAAAGGCGTTTTCTTCCACACCGATGCAGCTCAAGCCGTTGGTAAAATCCCAATCAATGTAAATGAAATGAATATTGATCTTCTTTCAATTAGTGGACACAAAATCTATGGACCAAAAGGTGTTGGTGCCCTTTTTGTTAGACGTCGTCCAAGAGTTCGTATCGAACCAATTTTAACTGGTGGTGGTCAAGAAAGAGGTATTCGTTCAGGTACAGTCCCATCTACATTAGCCGTCGGTTTAGGTGCTGCTTGCAGAATCTCAAGAGAGGAAATGGAACGTGACAGTAAATGGATTAAACATTTATACGATCGTCTTTTAAAGGGTATCACTGAAAATGTACCAGAAGTTAAAATCAACGGTGACCCAGAGAAGCGTTACTATGGTAACTTAAATATCTCTTTCTCATTTGTCGAAGGTGAATCTCTCTTAATGGCCATTAAAGACATTGCATGCAGTAGTGGTAGTGCTTGTACATCTGCCTCACTCGAACCATCCTATGTTCTTCGTTCATTAGGTGTCGAAGAAGATATGGCACACAGTTCCATCCGTTTTGGTATCGGCCGTTTCACTACCGAAGAAGAAATAGATTATACAATCGAACTTTTAAAGACTCAAGTAGAAAGACTTCGTGAACTCTCACCACTTTATGAAATGTGGCAAGAAGGTATCGATTTAAAGACAATCGAATGGGATCAAGGTCACTAAATAAATAAATTTTCATTTTTCAATATAAATATTTTTTTTTTATTTTATAATATATAAACACATATACATATATTTTTTTTATAAATAATAATATTGATAAATAAAAAGGGTAAAATTTAAATAAACATTTGGGTATTAATAATTATTTTTTTTTATGATATAATTTTATTTAACAATTTTATCATTCTTAGGTTCAACTATATTATTTTTTTATTAATATTTGAAGTTAAAATATTTGTGGAGAGTTTTTTTTATAAATAAAAAAAAAAAAAAAAAAAAAAGGTGATGTTCACACAAATATTACAATTTAAAAAATACATGATTACTTTTTTTTATTATTACTTTTTTTTTTTTGTTTTTTTTTTTTTTTTTCTATCATTTATAAATTTATAAATGATTTTGACGAGACGGAATAAATATTTATAATTAACTTTTTAATACTACTGAAAAAAAAAAAAATAATAATTTGTATATATTTGTGTTGTTGTGGTATATTATTATGTTATTACTATATAATTATTTTAAAATTTTTTTTTTTTTTTTTTTTTTTTATGGTTTGCAAACGATCGCTATTATTATTTACTGATAAAATCGTCAGAATCTGGATCGCTGTCATCTTCTAATTTGAGATTATCGTTAAGGATTGCACCTCCACCACCAACATCTTCATCGTTATATTCATTAATAAATTGTTGATTTCTTAATGGTTTTTGTGATGGAGAGATACTATCATCATCATCGCCGTTGAATTCGCTATTGATTGGCATATTTAAGTTAACTTGTCTAGAGCTGTGTAAACTTTGATTAATATTTTGTTCCAAGAAAGTAACAGCTTCGTAATTGCTATCAAATAAATATTGTGGGGTAACAATATCATAGAGACCAGATTTCTTGAATGAATCTTTAATTTTTTCACTAACTTGAACAAAAGCGACTTTAACACTACGTTTATGATAAGCTTCTACCATTTCTTCGATGGTTAAAAGAGCACTAGCATCCATCTCTGGGATATTGACAACATTAATAATGATGGATTGAAGTGGAGTACTACCACTACCAGTGACACTAGATGATTTATCCATCATTCTTTCAATTTCAGATAATAATTGTTTGAATTGACCAATATTTGCAAAATAAAGGACTTCATCAATACGAATTAATAAAATACCTTCAATTGGTTCGGCTTCTGGGAATTTAGCAACATCTTTGAAACGATTTGTACCTGGAACACGACCTAAAACACTGTAAACGTGTGGTGAGGCTGAATGTTTTAATACCAAGAAAATACACATACCAACACTAATAAGAATACCAAGTTCGACTTCGAGAATAAAAGTTGATAAAAGGGCAATTGTAAATTGAATTAAATCACCCCATGAACGAGTTTTCCAAAGGAATTTAGCTTCATGTACTTCGATAAGACCAAAAGCAGCAACAAAAATAATTGAAGCCATAGCGCAATATGGGAGATATTTAAAGAGTGAGGTTAAGAATACACAGGTGACTAATAAAAGACATGAAGTAATGAAACCACTTAAACATGTACGTGATCCAGCCATATCTTGAATTGAGGTACGTGGAATTGAAGCGAAAACTGGGTATGAACCAAAGATTGAACCTAAAATATTTGCGGTACCAAAAGCAACCAATTCACGATTACTACTGATTTGATAGTTGTGCTTGGTAGCTAAACCTTTACTGACAGCAGTTGCCTCTACAAAACCTACAATAACAATAAGAAAAGCTTGTGGTAATAACTCTTGAACAATACTTGTTTTGAATGATGGGAAATCTGGAGTTGGGAAACCACCATCGACATCTAAAAGAATTTTAATACCACTACCAATTTGTTGACCAGTGGCTTTATCTACATCTTTTTGTAAACCAAATAACCAAGTGACGAGAATTGTGATAATAACGGTTAATAAAATCTCTGGAATGTATTTTGCATTCTTCCAACCAAACTTCTTAATAAGAAGTTGTTTAAAGAAACGCATACCAACTAAAAATGCACAACAACCAGCTGACATGATAACAGTAGCTTTATCGGCGTCATTTAAATTTGTAATTGTGTCCCAAAACTTTTGATATGGACCAGGATGATGTCCTGAATGAGAACCTGGGACAACACCCAATAAAGCATCCAATTGTGAAATTGCAATAATTAAAGCAACAGCATTAATGAAACCAGATAGAACCCATCTTGATAAAATACCCCCAAGAAAACCAAACTGGCATACACCAAAGAGAAAACTTACAATACCAACTAATAATGCTAATGTATGTGCAACACTAATACGTCCTGCATCAGTTCCAACCTGATCTTCACTCATACCATTTAAAATTGAACCTAATAATACTGATAATAAAGCTTCTGGTCCAACTGCTAATTGTTTACAGCTGCCCATAAATGAATATATAACCAATGGTAACCAACCTGAATATAAACCATAAATTGCTGGTAAAGTTGCTAAAACACCATATGCTAAACCTTGTGGTACTAACATAGTGGCAACTGTAATGGCTGATAATACATCACCAACCAAATCATCTTTTGAATATGATTTAATCCACTGAATTGAAAATAATAAATTATTAATATATATGTAAAAATAAAATATGTATATAAGTGTATCGATTACATTTTAGAGATGATACATACATTAATGATTGGTACATAAAGTGGAATTTTAACTTTCATAGCCTTTGCTAATTCTTTTGGATTGGTTAACTCCTCTTTTGTAAATAAAAATTGTTCTTGATCTTCATCATTTGTGCCTGCGAAGAAATGGGTTTTTTCAACCTCTACCTCTTCACCTTTATTTGCTGAATGAATAATCCATTCTCTTGTATTTTTTAAATGATCACCCATAATAATAAAATACTTATTTGTATCTGTATATCTGTGTATAAATATATGTGTGCGTGTGTATTTGTTTATCTGTTTTTATATAATATTTTATGTTTTGTTTATTGTGTTTTATATGTGTGTATATGTATGTAAGTATGTATGAAACCAACCGAATTAGATAATTTATCTAATTTAAAATTAAAATTTATTTATAGAAAAAATTTAAAAAATATAAATAATATATTTAATTAAATTGATTTGGAAAAAAAAGAAAAATATAAATTAAAAAATTAAAACAAATAAAAAAAAAGATGTGATAATATAAAAGAAATAGGTTGTGTGTGTAAAAGTGAAAGTGTGTGTGAGAGTTGGTGTAAAAAAAAAAAAAAAAATTTTAAAAAATTTAAAAAAAAAAAATTTTAAAAAAAAAAAAACAAAAAATTTATTTTATCGCTCATAAAAAAAAAAAAAATTAAAAATATATTTTTAACTGGGACAAAAGAAATCAAAAAGAAAATAATAATTTTTTTTTCGTAATTAAAAAACGTTTAAAAAAATCATAAAAATCAAAAAATGTTATTTCAACAAGGCAAACTAAATTTAATCAAAGCTATCAAATCATTACCAGAAACTAAATTATTTTTTTTTTTTATTTTTTTTTTTTTTTAATGAATTTCTTAAAAAAATAATTTTATAATAATTAATTAAATCATATATATTATATATAATTTAAGAATAAAATAAAATTTTCATTAAAAAAATAAATGAGATAGATATATTTTTTTGAATAATTAATGAAATCAATTAACCACAGTGTGTTAGTGGGTTAGTGTGTATGAAATAAATGAAAAAAAAAATGAAAAAAAAGTGGGGTGTTTACAAAATAATAATTTTTTAATTTATTTTATTTTTCATTTCATTTAATTTATATTTTCAAATTCATATTGAATTTTAATATCTTTATTCATTACCCAACTATATATTGTAGAAAATCAATAGTAATAATAATAGTTAACGAAGAAAAAAAAAAAAAAAAAAAGATATATAAACAAACATATAATTATAATAATATATTTTAAAAAGAAATTAAAATGGTAAAGGTAGTTCCATTAAGATTTATAACATATGATCCATTAAAGGATCCAAGTAAAATGGTCTATAGAAGACCAATTAGTAAACCTGTAAGAGCATTTAAAGGTTTTTTTTCAGAGTTTATTGGTACATTATATTTAGTATTTTTCTGTGGTGGAAGTGTTTGTTCTGCTTTGGCAGTAGCTGGAGATAGTGCAGCAAGAGCACTTTTAGCATGTTTCATACAAGGTATGGCTTTGGCAGCATTAATTTGGGCAGTATCTGGTGTTTCAGGTTGTAATTTAAATCCAGCAGTCACATTAGCAAATCTCTTATCAGGTAGAGTAGGTTTAATTGATAGCATTAGTTATGTTGCTGCTCAAGTTGTTGGGTGTATTGCTGGTGCAGGTATTCTCTATGGTTGTTTACCAGCAGTTTATAGAATAGATTTAGGTGTTCCACATTTAGCTCCTGGTATGAATACTGGTGAAGGTTTCCTCCTTGAAATGATGCTAACTTGTATACTCTGTCTCACTGTATTGGGTACCTCAGTATTCAATGTTTGGGATAGAAGAATGAATAGAGTAGCTCCTTTCGCCATTGGTTTAGCTTTATTAATTGGTGTTGGTATTGGTTTCAATTTCACCGGTGGTGCCCTTAATCCAGTTCGTGTCTTAGGTCCATCTATTATCAGTGGTGTTTGGTCAAATCATTGGATCTATTGGTTAGGTCCAATTGTTGGTGCTATCATGGCTGCATTTATTTATCGTTGTCTCTTACAAGAACGTTTCGATGTCATTGAAAGACCAGGTTATATTGAACCATTAATTGATCCAACTGCTGCCAGTTCATTCTATTAAAAAAAAAAAAATTTTATTTAATTTCTAAAATTAAAAAACTAAAAAAAAAAAAACAAAATAAAAAAAAAAACAAATTAATAATAAATTGTTTAGTTTTAAATTTACTTTTATTTATTTATTTTTAAATTAACATAATCTATAACATTATAAAAAAAAAAAAGATTTAAAAAAATAATATATTTTTAAAAAAATTTTAAATAAGGATGGTGGATATATGAGTTAACAGCTCTTTTTTCTCTATACGTTTGGAGTAAAAAAGAAGCAAAAAACAATAACCAAATAGATAATAACAAGTGTTGAACCAATAAAGTAGTTAGTTCTACCATTGTTAAAGACCAAGTTCATTACAGTGACACCAAAAAAGATTGCGAAAAAGTCCATTAATGGGAAGATCAATGTAAACGAGCCATTACTGCTGAGATGATTGACAACAGCGCAAATGAAAACTAAAACTGGCATTTGGAAGAGAGTGATTTGGACAGCAGCGGATGCACCGATTTCAAGTGCAAGCGGCATATTGTTGTTGAGGGAGAATTGAATAGCATTCAAGTACTCTGCCGCAGACGGGATAATACCCAAAATGGTGACACCAAGGAACTCGTGTGTTAGGCCCAATGCACTTACTACAGGATCGATAGTGTCGACCAATCTTTCAGAGACCAAGGCAAACATGGTTGTACAAACCAATAAAACGATAATACATTGAACTTTTGACCATTCATATTCGACTTGGTGACCACTTGGTTTTTCGACTGGACCATGAAGAATGTGTGTGTGGGTTTTGAGGGTGAATAAAAGACCAATTAAATAGGTTAATGGGAGAATACCGGAACAAATGTACATGAGTGTACGTGCTTTGGTTGTATAGATTGGATCATCATCTAAATTATTTTGAACCAATGAACAGCTTGAGCAATCTAACATTGTACTATTGACACCACTTTGAGTACAAGATGAACAATTGAAACCATAACTACCATAGATCTTGTAGAATAAAGTTGGGGCAAATGCAGCAACAACAGCAATCATTAATAAAATTGTATTAACACCCATTAAAGCTGGATTGAAACGTTGCTCTTTATGTTTAATACCACCGACAATCATAGATAAACCTGGAATTAAAAGCATAGAACCTAATAATGCACCTGTTAAAGCAGATCTAGCAACCTCTTCTTGTGATCCATTAATTGATACAACGTAAAGAATTAATTCAATAATTGAACCAAAACTAGCATTGATCAATGCACCAATTGCGAATGATGTTTGGGCGGATAAACTTGCAATAGCCATACCATTGTAATATGACAATGGAATTGTTGACAATAAGCAACAAACGAAAATAACAATTGGATTAACTTGTTCTTCAAAAAAGAAACCAAAAATTAATGAAATAATAACAAATGGTAGTAAATCTAAAATAAAAAAAGTGGGGGTTAATAAATTTGAGAATAAAAAACATTGCGATGATGTGCCTGCTTGTATGATTTACTTACTAACTAAACAAACATTCATTCCATTAACTGTATATTTATAATAGTAATAATTGAATGCTTCAACTGGATATAAAAGTATTTGACAGTCTGGTCTAGTATATTCTTCAGATCTTAACAACAATGGATTTTTTAATAAATTAAATAATAATTTTGAATGAACCTACAAAAAAAAATAAAAAAAAAAGTGTTAGGTTTTTTCCTCACAGAGCATATTTAATTATTTTTGATGTAATATTTACCTTTGCTGTTGGAATCATAACTACTATCATCCATGATAATGAAAACACTATGGTTTCAAAAATCACAAGTATTGGAATAATAAAAACATAATAAATAAATGCACCAATATAATTATAGAGTGTTAATTTTCTAACTTCGATAGCCCTTCTTTTTTTAGCACTACCACCATAACTTAGAGGCTCTCTTTCTTCATTACTTCTGCCAATTGGTCTATTTGATAATTGTAAAAATTTTCCGAATGGCCACAAAACAAAACCCTTTAAATTCCACAATAGTCTACCATATGGTATACCAAAGTATGTAATATAACAAAATATACTGCAAATGGTAAATATTACAAATAAAAATACTCCAAATAATATAAAATAAAGATAATTTCCAATTAAAATGGGTATACCTAATTTTTTTTAAAAAAATTAATGTTAATAGGTGGTATTAAAAGAATGGTGTTGATGTTATGTTATTGTGTTTACTTACTTTCTTGTTTTTGTGGTTGATCTGGAGAGTCATTATATAAAACCTGTACTTCTGGTGAACGCTCCTCAAGTTTTCTTTTGGTTAATTTACTTTTAAATGGTTTGAAGCCAAACATATGGTTTTGAATTTGATGCTTAACCTCTGATGGATTTGTATCGTCTGAAATACCCAAGTCATCAAATGTAATTGGTTTTTCGACTTGTGCAACATAAAGCGACTTAACTCTTTTCTTTTGTGGTATTTGATGATCAACAGTTGATTTAAAATTTTTATCAACATTGTTGGTATTATTATTGTTATTATTATTATTGTTATCATTGTTGTTATTACCACTGAGGCTGTAATCACTGTTATAGTATTCATAATTGTTTCCCATACCGGAGCTATTATTTATATTATCATTTACTATAATGCTGCTGTTACTTGGATTTGAATGTTCCTCGTCCATTGGTATGGCTATACCGTGGTGTGTTGCATTCAATGGTGGTTCCATTGGAACGCCTCCAATCTCTTCGTAGTCATCTGATGACAACAACGGCTTATCCATAATATTATATTGACTTATTTATTACACAACAAAATTAAAAATTACAAAATGTCAAATGAAAGGCATAAAATGTAAATAAAAACTGTTATTGTATTTTAAAATTATGTGAGTTATTTTTTATTTTTTTTTATCTTTGTGTGGGATTTGTGATTGGGTGTGTGGTTTTTTAAAAATAAAAATAAAAAAATAAAAAAACAAAATAATAACTTATTTAACTTTTTTTTTTTATCTTTTTTTTTTTTTTTATTTATAAAAAGTGTAATAATAATGTTATCAAAAATAACAATTATATTTTTTTTTTTTTTGCACGCGATTATCCAAAATAATTTATAAAAAAAAAATAATAAAAAATAATAAAAAATAATAAAAAATCAAAAAAAAAAAAAAAAAAATTTTTATAAAATCAAAAATAATAAAAAAAAAAAAAAATAAAACTTTTTTTTTTTTGGAAGGTTTTTTTTGATAATTGATTGTAATTATATAAAATAAAATAAAATATTTATTAAGATTTTTTTTAATAAACCTGGTGAGTGTATATGCACAAAAAAAATCAAATTAAAAATATCAACCCATGGTTCCTTGTGATTGTGTGTGTTTTTATTTATAATTTTATTTTAGAGTAAAGAGCCAAAGAGGATCAAAAAAAAATAAAAATAAAAAAGGGTTATGGTTGTCTTTTGTTTTTGTACCTGTGTGTTTTTACTAAAAAAAATAAAAATAAAAATATTTATTTCTATATTTTAATTTTTATTTTTTTTAGTAAAAACACATCAATTTAAATTAAACATTAATATATATTCATCATGCATATATTTATAAATTAATGAAAATATGTGTATATTTATTTATTTTTTTTTCAATTTTTTTTTTTTTAATTTTTATTTTTTTAATTTTTTAATTTTTTTTTTCAAATTTTTATAAATTTTTTTTTTTCCATTCATTTCACTTTCATTATTAATTTCAAAATGTCATTAAATCTCGAACAAATTAAAACTTTCAGTACTAAAGCTTGGGACGAACAAATTATCCCAACTTTATCAAAATACATTGAAATCCCAAATCAATCACCATTATATGATGCTGAATGGGCCACCAATGGTTTAACTGAACAAGCCATTGAATTATTAAACAACTGGGTCTTAGCTCAAGGTATCAAAGGTTTAACTTCAGAAATTAAAAAGATTGAAGGTTTATCACCAATTATTTTAATGGTCATCGAAGCCACCAAAGCTGATGCCAAGAATGTTCTTCTCTATGGTCATATGGACAAACAACCACCTTTAACCGAACAAGTGGGTATTAATATTAATATTGATATTTAAATTTTTTTATAACCCAACCCAATTACTAATTTAAATTATTTTATTATAGTGGACTGATGGTTTACACCCATACAAAGCTATTATTAGAAATGGCAAATTATATGGTCGTGGTGGTGCTGATGATGGTTATTCAACTTTTGCTTCAGTTTTAGCCATTAAAGTAAGTTTTAATTAAAAATTTATTTTATTTAAATTTATTTATTTATTTATTAATGTATTTAATATAATATAGGCTTTACAAGAACAAAACATCCCACATGATCGTTATGTTGTTGTCATTGAAGGTTCAGAAGAATCAGGTTCAGTCCATTTACCAGCGTAAGTTTAATATTTATTTTATAGGATTGTAGTATAATAGAGGGGAGATAAAAATAATAATAATAATAATAATACAACAATAAATAAATAACACTTTTAACAATTATTAAATTTATTAATTTTTTTAAATTTATTTTGAATATTTTTAAAAATAGTTATATTCAAAAATTCGAAAAGGAAATCCAAACTCCATCACTCGTTGTTTGTTTAGATTCAGGTTGTGGTAATTATGATCAATTATGGATGACTTCATCACTTCGTGGTGTTTTAACTGGTAATCTCACCGTTAAAGTTTTAGATGAAGCTTGTCACAGTGGTTCAGCTTCAGGTATTGTTCCATCATCATTCCGTGTTCTCCGTCAAGTTCTTGATCGTCTTGAAAACCAACAAACTGGTGAAGTCAACACTAAACTCAATGTTGAAATTCCATCATACCGTATTGAACAAATTAATAAATGTGCTGAAGTTTTAGGCAACACTATCTATGAAGAATTTGCTTGGCACAAAAATACCCAACCAGTTACCAAAGATCTTGCTCAACTTATGATCAACAAAACTTGGAAACCAACTCTTTGTATCACTGGTGTTGATGGTATCCCACACACTTCAAATGTAAGTTCATTTATTTGTTATGAAATTTTATTTTTATTTGTTAAAAAATTGTATTAATTTTATAAATTTTTTTTTTGTATAATAGGCTGGTAATGTTATGCGTACCCAAACCACTGTTAAAGTTTCAATTCGTCTTCCACCATCTTTCCAATCTGGTAAAGCTGAAAAGATCTTAAAAGAAATCTTAGAATCAAATCCACCATATGGTGCTGAAGTTACTTTCACTATGGACAAATGTGCCACCGGTTGGGATTCACCAGCTATTAAACCATGGTTAGAAACTGCTCTTGGTGAAGCCTCAAATGCTTTCTTTGGCAAACCACATGTTTACATGGGTGAAGGCGGGTAAGTAAAAAAAGTTTTAAAAAAACATTTTTTTTTTTATATTTTACTAATTTTATTTCATTTTTTAAACAATTTTTAGTACAATTCCATTCATGTAAGTACCAGAGGATATTGGTTATTATTTTATTTTATTACTATAGTTTATTAACCGTTTTAATTATTTTTTTATTTAAAAATTTATAGGGGTATGCTTGGTGAAAAATTCCCAGAAGCTCAATTTGTTATCACTGGTCTTTTAGGTCCAGCTTCAAATGCTCATGGTCCAAACGAATTCTTAGATATTGAGTTCGGTAAAAAATTATTAAGTTGTGTTGTCTACCTTTTAGATGCCCATGCCAAAAATGCTTAAATAAAAATTTAAATTATTTTTATAGTTATTTTATATTTAAATATTTTCATTTGTTTTTAATCACCAAAAATTTGGTATATAAAAAAATTTTTATTTTTTGAGAAACAATCTTAAAAAATAAAGACCTGTGTATTTATTAAAACATTTTTTTTAATTATTTTTTTTAATTTTTTTTGTAATTATGTGCGCTTTTTTTAAAAATTATTTATCATTACAATTTGTAATAAAAGATATCACAAATAAGGTTTTAATAATAACAAATAGTTAATAATAAAATGAGAGTTAAAGCAAGAGATCTTTTTTATATGAAAAATGGGTATGAATGTGACTCAGATTGCAGCGATGAAGATTTATATGACAATGTCAGTTATGAAATCGATAGTGATGATTATTTAGAATTACAAACACCCAAAAGAACAAGTAATGTCATTGAAGAACTAGATTATGAACCCAATTTGGAAAATTTTACAAAAAAATTCAAGAATCTAAAAATATCAAACTATAGACAATTACAAAAGGTTGCAGATTCATTGGGTTTAAATTCCTTAGAAAAAAAAGTAACATTATATCACAGGGTCAAAAATTATTTAGAAATTCAAGATACAATATCAAAAGAACGTGAATTGAAAATCCAATGGAATTCAATGTTTAGTCAAAATCAAAGTTTATTTTCATCCTCTACTTTATCAAATGGTGAATTATTGTTTTGGAAGGTTTTCAAAAATAAAACCATATTCAAAGAAATATTTTCAAATATCAAATATAAAGAAGTATATGGTTACGACGATATGGTGAAAGCTGAATATGTTTTAAAGTACTATAGTAACGGGGCAGAAATTGTTAAGGATAAGATCAAGAGTAATAATAATATTATCAGTAACCAAAATGATATGGAGGCAATTTTAAAATCAATTCGTGGGTTCTCAGAAGATAATGAAATATTTTATAGAAATTTATTTACAAAATTTAAATCCCATGGCAAAAACAGTCAGTTCAAAAATGTAAACAAATGGTTTAACTTGATAATATCAAGTTATAATAAATTGGCAACATCTCAATATATAAAAATCTTCGATTTATCAACTGGGGATATCAGAGGAAACATCACTAATTTTCAAGAACATTATAATTTTTTTTCATCCTATCAAGGCATTAAGATGTTCTCATTTTTAAAAACAAATGATTGCATCGATAAAGATAGTTTCATCATTAAACCATTTAACCAAATCAATGTCACTTCAGATTCATTTAAATTAAAACAATTGGTCACAATATTTAGAATAATAGTTTCAATCGTTCAAGATAATAATGGTATCAAAACCGAAAAGATAGATAGACTAATCAACGAATTACAACAAATTGAGTTTACAAAACTTGATCAATTTAATTCAAAAATAGTAGATATAATAGAAAACCCAGAATTACTTTCAAAAGTTCAAGTTAAAAAAGAAGGAAACAATCAAACATTAAAAAATATTATTTTTAAATTATTCAAGCTATTTTATTCAGTAAATAAGAAACTACAACTTTTAGTTAATAAGAGTAAAAAATTTTATTTTCACAAAACAAGTAGAGAACTTAATGAAATGCTCGAATCCGAATCTCCCAGTTTAGATTTAAACAGATTACTAAAAATATCAAATAAAGGGGATTTGGTAAAAATTTGTAAAGATTACTACTGCCATTATACCACTGATTTCTCAAAACAGTCAGATTTTCATAAAATGATTTTAAATTCAAATAATGTTGTTTTAATAGAAGCATTATATAAAGTAGTGAGTTTTGGAATCGTCAAACAGCATGAATTTCCTTATTTAATTAAATCAATCAATAGTACAGAGGTTTTAGACTATTATTTCAACAATCATAAAGACTCAGGAATATTCAAACAAGAAGAAGGTTGTTGGAGGTTCTTTCAAAGTGTCGAGCTATTGGTACATTATGAAAAGCTTATGGAAGGTAATATTGATATACTGCAATATGGAGATACTTCTCATTTAAAATATTTAAATATTCAAGTCTTATTGCATGCAATAAATAGTTTAAATTTAGGATCAAAATTATATTACATTGAAAGAGAATTGAAAATTGAAGATTTTCTACACACTATAAACAATGCTATTACCAAAGGGGAGCAGGAGTCTGTTATTTCATTGTTTTCAACTTTTTGCTTCAAATCAATCGATTTATCAAAACTTTTCGAACACGTTGTAATGGGAAATAATGAATTAAATTCAAACTATTATCACATCAAAAAGATAGAAAGATCTAAAATAACATTAATATTGGATTGGATATTTCAATATTGTCCATTGCATCATATTTATAATAGTATTAAGACGGGTAATTATAAAGAAGTTGTTATACCAATAGAGTTTATTCAAGAAAATCATATCGGTAATAAAATCAATAGTAATGAATATAATGAAGAGCTAGAACAGACTTCGAAATATACATATTTAGATTCAAAAAGATTAATAACATTTAGAGCTAATTTTTTAGATTTTCTCACTTATCTTTCCCTTATTGGGCGTTCAGATGACATTATCAGTCTTTATTTGAACCTTAATAACATAATTACAAATAAGAACATTCATCGCAAAAAATCATTATTCCATTTTTTTTCAAGTAATACTTTAGAGAAATTTATTTCCCTCTTTAAGGATAATCTCGTCGATAATTGTTCAATTAATCTTTTATATCATGCATTATATGTTGCCGCTTCCAAAGGATTTTTACCACTATTCAAGCAATTGGCATTTGATTCGAGCTATATGTTAAAGAAAAGAATGGGTAGAAATGGATCCTTGTTTGAATCAAATCTATTGTATAATTTAGTAACAGCATCAATCGATAATGGAAATTCAGAATTAGCTCACTTTTTAATAAACTTCATAAACTTTTCAACTAAAGAAATTAAGTCACTAAGGGTATTAGAGTGCCAATCCAAAAACAAATAAATTTAATAAAAATCCCTAGTTTCTATCAATTTATTTAACAAAAAAAAAAAAAGAAAATAAAGCGAAAATGATTTTTTAATTTAACATTTTTAATATATTTATTAAAAATAAAAAAATTTTACTAGTACAATTAGTTTGAGCCTCACCTTTTTACAATTTTGAGTTATTAGTTGGTTCATTATTATAGTTAAATATATTTGGAGGAACACCAATATAAGGTTGAAAAGAATAAAATGTTTTGCCTTGTTGTTGTTGTTGCTGTTGCTGTATTATATGTGGAGGCCCTTGCTGAGATACATGAATATGATGATAATGACTATTATTTACATTGCTATTATGAAACGGGGGATTTGGAAAGCCATGTAAAATTATTGGTGGTGGATTTGCAGTGTTGGTAGTATTAATTGTTGATGATGTTATGGTTGGTCTAGGCGAATATATTAAACCTGTTATTGTTGGTGATATTTTTGTGGGTGTAACATCAATATCATTTTGTTCATCTAAACTATTAAAATCATTATCTGCATTATTGTTATTATTAACATTGTAATTATTATTACCATTATTATGGGTACTTGGTTCGTCGAATGAAGAGTATCTTGATTTTCTTAAAAAATTGTTATTTGGTTTTGATTTTATAATTTGATTAAATTTTCTAGGTGTCATTATCATCTGAGGTTCAATGTTATTATTATTATTTACTGAAAAAAAATTATTATTGTTATTATTTACATTTGTCGAGTTAATATACAAGGTTGTTGAGGTAGGTTGTTGCTGGTGTTGTAATTGTTGATTTAAATTATTAAAAATATAACCATTTTTGATTAGATATTTATTTGCCAATTCTAAAATGTCGTCATCTTCTCTAGAAATTATAGATTGTGGCAGTGAAGGTTTAAAATAACGATGTTGAAGTGCTTGTAAAGCAGTTGGTCTCTTTAATGGGTCATACTGAAGCAATTCGGATATTAAATCGATAGCATCTGGATTGGCATTTGGAAGAAGAGATGTTAAATGTGAAGGTTGTGTTATAACATTTGGAAAAGAGAAGTTCATACTATTGGCCAATTTAATTCCATCAATCCAAGTCTGAGGGGTGGGAGAGCCTAGGACGGAGCAGATCTTAAATAACTGGTCAATTTCTGAGGAGCCAGGGAATAGAGGTTTCAAAGAGTATAGTTCTGCCATTATTGCACCAACTGCCCAAATATCAATAGGTGAATTATAATAGGTACATCGTAATAAGACCTCGGGTGCTCTATACCAACGAGTAGATATATAATCGGTGAATGGTGGTTTGGATGCTATCTCTCTTGCTAAACCTAAATCAGCGATTTTTAGTCTTTCACCAACCAACATTATATTTTCTGGTTTTAAATCCCTATGAAAGAACCCATTATTGTGCATAAAGTGTAATGCTTGTAAAATTTGATATCTATATAATAATAAGTTTTATTAGCAAGCATAAGAAAATGAATGAAAAAAAAGGGAGGAAAAAAATATTTATATTATTTTTAATTTAAAAAATAGACAAAATATATTTCGAAGAAAAAAAATTCTGAAATCATTACTATTAATTAATAGTATATGAAAGGTATAAGAGGTAAATTATACATACATTATATTCCTAATTGTAGTTTCTGATAATAACTTAGATCGATCTTTAATAGCTTCGTATAGATTATTTTCTAAATATTCAAAAACAAAAAACAATTCGTCTCTTTCCAAGATTACTTCTAATAGCTTGACTATATTTGGATGATTCAATTTCTTTAAAGATTTAATTTCTCTTAATTGCATACACTCCTTCCAATCACTAAACCTTTTTTTCATCCTTTTAATCGCTACAATCTCTCTAGTATGTACATTTATAGCTTTTATTACATCACCATATGCACCATCTCCGACTTGTTTAATAAATTGATATTTATCCATTATTTAAATATTTAAAATTATTATTATTATTATTATTATTATTATTGTTATTATTATTATTTTTATTATTATTATTTTTATTATTATTATTATTGATATGATAGTGTATGAATATGTGAATATTTGAATCTAATTGGGAAATAATTTTGATATTAAATTGAATTTACTTTTGATTATTTATTAAAGATTTATTTCTCTTTGAATGCTAAAAGTTTTTCTATTTTTTCCTTTTTTTTCCTTTATTATAACCACATAAATATTTAAAATTGACTTTTTTGTTTAAAGATATTTCACTTTACTTTTATAAAAGAATTATACAAGTTAACAGAGTTTTACAAAAGTATTTTTATTTTATATACATGTTATTAAATTAATTACAAAAAAAAAAAAATTTGATAATTATTGGGGTTTTTTTTGTTGTTTTTTTTAAATAAGATTTTAGATGATGAGGCACATATGTAAAAGAGTTATTTAAAGAAGAAAACAATAAAATTATACAAATGATCAAGTTTTATTATTAATAATATTAAATTTTAATTTTTTATTTTTATTATTATACAATGTTATTGGTGTGATATTATTGGTGACAAATATGAACAATGGTTTGATTTTCTATTGTTATAATTGGTATAAAACTGTAATATCGATATTATTGGTGTTATATTAACACGTACATACCACTATAATTATAATTAATACACACAGATTTAAATAAAATAAACATTATTGTATTTTAGTTGCATTGCTCCTATCATATGATTTGTTTGTAGTGTTGTTATTGATGATGCTAAAAGTTTAACTTTTTTCTCTTATTATTTTTATTATTATTACTATTATTATTACCCCAAAAGAGTGTATACTGCTCCCTATTTTTATTTCTATACAAATAAATAGCACCCACACAAATCCACACAAACTCACACATTAAAAACACACATATGTGCACACACACTTTTAATTTAAATCTATTTATACATACCCGCATATAACAACCCTAAGAAATTATAATTATTGCTATTTTAATATTTAAAGTAGATAGTGAATTTCGAACATAATACTAAATGTGTTGAAAGTTATTTAAATAAATATTAAAATATTATTATTATTAAATTTTAAAAAAAAAATTTTAATTTAAAAACACCCATATTAAAAAAAAAAAATTATTGGGGTAAAAAAATAGAAAATTATAAAAAATTTAAAAAAAAATTAAAAAAATATTTTTTTTTTTTTTTTTTTGATTTTAAAAATATTTTTTTTTTTAAATTATGATATTAAAAAAATAATAATAATAATCATGATTGTTTCATTCACTTTTTACATTCCATTTCCTTGGTGGGGGTAATACCTTTTTTATCAAAAAAAAAAAATAAAAAAAAAAAAAAAGAAAAAATCTGGGGGGGGAATTTCTTGGGTTTATTTTTTTTT